TATTGTCGAGTTGTTCGGTTGGACGGTTACGGGTTAAGGTCGCCGCGATCTGCAGCCAAGCCCTCGTTTCCACTGAGTCATGTTTCCCGTTTAACCGCACCTCCACATGTCCTTGCCCTTGCGTAAGTTCCGAAACCGCGTTCCAATACTGTCAGGGACTGATCCGTTCAAAGCCTGGTTGAACCTTCATCGGAGCGTTCTGAGTTTGAGTCCCAGCGCGTGCCAGACCGAATATGCCTTTTGGTTTACACTCCCTTTTGGTATATATATAGGATTGGATGGATCCTCTATATTGGTTGGGCTCTGCTATTGTTTTTGGTTGTTGTAAGAGTCGTTCTGAACGGCCAGTTGCTATCAACAATGGTCGAGTCGAACCGCCTCCTTGCAGATATCTCCCTAACTGGCCATTCGGGACTCATGCCAGTTCCTAGACGTGCGCTGTACCCATGAAACAAACAAAAACAGTGGTTTTCTATGTGTGTTCCAAAATGCAGCTTATCACCGGGGCTATGCAAAGCGGATTTATTGCATGTTTCCGCCATCGACAAAGGAAGCAGATCTCTGGAGCAACCTGCTTGAAGCTATTGGTGCCAATCGAGTCAATGCGCCCGTTTTGCCACACACTCGTCACGCTTTGCAGATGCATATTTGCATGGGCTCAATGGCACAGAAGCTGCCTGGGCAAACAAGAAATACCGTGGGCATCATACTCTGTCACCATCATATCTGGAGGACATAAAGGATACAGAAAAGAGATTTATGGTGCACAAATTCACCTCTCACATGGTTTTACAGTAGTTTACAAGCATTGTAGTATCAAGTAATACACTGTTATGGACACTACAGGACACAAGAAGACTGTAGTGACTGAAACATATATAAGATAATAAAGATTATGATCTTCCAAAGTAGGGTAGAGCATGGTCAGGGTCAATCCACAGGGTTTCAGGGTAGGGTCTATCAGGGTTAGGGTCAGGGTACACCAATTTCTGAACCCAGCCAAACTTGGACCCTTTCAGGGTCAACCTGGAGGGTCCAAAAAGCTGTTGTAATTTAATAACTCCCTACCAGGGACCCTATCTAAATATGATTTTTGTAAGTCTTTAAGAGACAAAAAAAAATTACATGCCACTCAAGTCACTCATGTGATATGTGACATATAAGAAAACTGTATTAAATATACTTGAAATCTCAAGAAATAGGCTATAAGTATATACTACTGACCCATTTTGATCAATTCAGCAGGCTTGTGAACTATGACTATTTTGCCAAAATGTTCAATTCGGTGGCAGGCCAAATTTTGTGTGACCTATCACCCGATTAGGAAATGCAGCGCGCTACAGGTGCAGAAATTTTAAAAATCTATCTAATTGCCAGCTAGCAGGGCAAGGCACGAGCCACCGTAGCGTTAGATAAGCTAGCGTGGGAGCGCTCGGCCAAAGCCGACACTGACATCATCCTTTAGCGGCTGACATCATTTCAGCGCTTGCTCGACACCACCATATTGTGTGGCTTCAAGACTTTTTTGTGCGTTCCCTTCTCACTCTACCACTCTCTCCTGCCTTCCATTCTCTTCCCTTATGTCCTCCCTTCAAGCATACCAGCCTTTGTGGCTGGAATTCACCTCTAGGACGTGCTCTGACCTCAAGCATTAGTTAGGGCTTTCCCTTGGGTGGAGAACTATCTTTGGCTGTCCCTGAGCCTTCCCTGAGGGACAGGGTATGTTCCTGTCAACCTCCTTCCCTTCTGCTCTTTATATTCTTCCTTTTTCACTCCTTTCTCTCTTTTTCCCCTCTCTCTTTTGCCACCTCCCTTCCTTGTTGAACAGGGAGGAAATGGGAGGGGAAAAGAGGACAATTTGAGATTGAACAAGTAGCTACTTAAGTACATATAAACTACAACAGTGTCTAAACTAGTCTGTTGAAGGGCATGTACATATGAAGTACAAAGTGGAATGAACAGAAGGGGAATGGCAATCTGAGAACAAGCGCTGTTTCCGAGAACGGTCCGGGGTGGCTGTTCATGCCGCCGGATTGAAAGTCCAACACTCCCCGAATCCCAGGCATATCAAAGAATAAAGATAAAAGAAAAGAAACACTTATCAGGTCCATCAGGTATCACATCAACCAGTCATCAGGGAACTCCCCCGGAAAGCCATCTCGATCACCCATGCCGAGGAACCCATCACAAATACATCCAACTTGTCATCAGGGTACTCCCCCGGAATCCATCTACCATACACCGCCAATTTCTTCGTCATCAAATAGAACCGCACCAGCGTCGTTCTTGGGGGGAGCGGCAGTTCCGAGCCATGTGACCGGGCTTCCCGCAGTTGAAGCAGGTGAATTCGGCGCGCAAAGCGACATTCTCGGGGTCGTGATCCGAGAGCTCGTGACTAGTAGGCTTCTCAGCAGCCTTCCGAGCTTCTTCATCCAGCAGTGCTGAGGTGACATCAGCGAGAGCAAGTGTGCCAGTCGATGCAGTAAGCGATGACGCGATGCCGGAGTACGAGTCGTGAAGGTTGAAGATCAGGACATCGATGGTGTCGTCGTCGGAAAGTGTGGTGTTGGAGCCCAGGGCCAAAAGCCGAGCCGCGAGTGTCGTGATGTCAGTGATGTAATCCTGCATTGGTCGGGCCGGGTCATGGCGATAGCCCGTACAGCTGGCGCTTCAGCATGATACGCGTCGCGCGGCTGTTTTTCTCGTAGACTTTGGCCAGAGCTTGCCAAGCCTCGGGTCCGTTGGTGGCGCTGCGGATGTGAATGTACTGGGTTTGTTGGACAGCCAGCCCAATCAGCGCAAAACCCTCCTCCGCGGCTGCCTTCCAGTCAGCATCTTGAGCACTGGCAGCGGGAATGGAGTCGGTGACAGCGGAGTACACCTTGGCGCCGGCGCGGCGCAAAGATCAAGCCCATCGCGAACTTCCAGTCATAGTAGTTGGTGCCATCGAGCTTCGGGACAGCGGCAAGCAAAGAGTTGACATTGGTTTTGCCGGTAGACATGATGGGAACAAGAGATCAAAAGAAGTGAGATTTCGGGATTTAATCAAGGAGGGCGGGGCCCATAACCTGTTGAACAGGGAGGAAATGGGAGGGGAAAAGAGGACAATTTGAGATTGAACAAGTAGCTACTTAAGTACATATAAACTACAACAGTGTCTAAACTAGTCTGTTGAAGGGCATGTACATATGAAGTACAAAGTGGAATGAACAGAAGGGGAATGGCAATCTGAGAACAAGCGCTGTTTCCGAGAACGGTCCGGGTGGCTGTTCATGCCGCCGGATTGAAAGTCCAACATTCCTTTCCTGCTCTTTCCATCCATCCTTTTTCACCCTCCCCCCTCTTTCCCATCCTCTCTGTCCCAGCGCTCCATGTGGGGTGTCCGCCGCTGCTTCGCGTTTGCTGGCCGTGCTTCGCTTTGGAGCGCTGCTCCTTTGGGGGGTCCGGGTGCTCGCTTATGGCATTGGTTCCCACCCAGTGGTACGTCGTGCTGGCCGCAGGCTGCCCCGAGTTTTGTCTCCTGCCCAGAGCTGCCTAAGTTGCCCTCTTGTGGTTGGGAGCTTCTCGGTGAGCGTCTCCTTTTTCCTAGAGTTGCCTAAATTGCACTCTCGGGGCGGAGCGTCTCATTGTGGCCTTGCGGCCAAGCCTGGCACATTGATACCTATGTATCATGTGCTTATGCGCTCATACATGAATTTTTGCCTTCCCCGTCTCTTTGGAGATTTACGTATTCATATTCCCTACCTACCTACATGTACTACTTCCAAAGGCCGGGCGCGACGAGCTAGCTTATTGGGACACTTTAGGACCAAAGAAATCAGCTGTGCCCTGTGACCTACTAAAATATTTTGGCTAAAAAATCTGATGTGACTGTGACCGGCAGAATTGAATGAAATAGGTCAGTATATTGGAGCTAATATCATATAGCAAACTGTGTGTTATATCAAAATTATTGTCCCAAATACATCTTCTGCTTCCATGGCTGCAACCCGTGGGTCAATCCAGACCTGGTTAGCCCTGTACCTAGAAGGGTCAAGGTTAGTCAGGGTCAGGATCAGGGTCAGGATCAGCTCTCTAAGATCTGGACCCGGACCTGTGCTCAACCCTATTTCAAAGCCAATATACCTATACTCTCGGCATCCGTGGGAAACAGATACCTGTATCCACAAATGTTAAACCTGTAGATGTTTTCCAGCAGGTACCTGTGCAAACATCTGCAGGTATCGACACTTGTGCAGAGCTTTAAAGTAATTGCTGCCCTTATAAAATAATTACCCTTATTTACTTTATCTTACAGCATTTCTAAACCAAACACATCAGAGTTTTGCAGCAAAACAGCAGATTGGGGCCCAAATCAGTGCCCAAAATTTCTGATGAATCAAAGGCCTTGATTGTGGAGCACGTGACGTCAAAATTACCTTATTTGGTAATTCAGACATCAGATCTGCAACACTGATTTGTCAGAAATTGGGTGCCCATTTTTAGTTAATGTGCGGGTTCCCACGCCCCTTAGAGAGGAAGTCTTACTCATCAATTTATAGTCAGTATATAAGCACTGATGACTTCTGAGTAAAGAATAATAGTGCTCACTGCATAAAAAAAGACTGCAACTCCAATTCTTGAACATTTTACAGGCTGAAGCACGCAGGCCAGATGGTCTATTAGAATCGTACGCGTAATCGTAAATATCCAGGTAGGTAGGTAGGTAAACAGTCCAATACAGTCAAAATACATTTTCTTGAACACACCTACAGTGGAATAATACATAAATGAGCAAGGAAAAGTCATGAACAGGAAGGAGACGGTCGTGAATCGGTTGGTCATGAATATATACGTGAATGGGTAAGGGAATGTGTAAGTATGTGCTGTCAATGGTGAGTGGAGGTATCAGTTCGTGGCAGGGGTATTATGGTCGGAGTTGGGGGGTTGAGATGGGGAGGAGGCATGGCGGGGAGGAGGCATAGGAGCATGGGACATAGGCATAGACCATAAAAACCCATCTATTGCGGCCAGCCACGCACCATCCGCGCCGCGCCGCCCGTTACCCGTCCCAATAAACCCCACAGCGCATCGGTTTCGTGTGTGAAGCCCTCGCCCGCATACTTCATCGTGTTGAAGCTGTTCCACACCGCGCGGTCGTGCATCGTTGGCCCGCCAGGCACGGTGTAGTAGGGAATCAGCAGCGACGGGCCAACGGCCAAGAACGCAATCGAGGTGACGCCGATCCAGAACATCGCAGAGGGAATAACAGGGAACGGATTGGCGTTGCTTTGCGGGTGGGGGGTCTTTCCACCATAAACGTAGGTGTTGTAGATGTTGTAGAAGCGACCGCTTCTTCGCCGTGGAGAGGCGCCAGCAGCATCAGACGGTGCACGTGGCAGGCCGGTGTGAGGCGAGTTTTCGATGATCTTGTCGACGACTAAACACGAGACACCCAGCTCCTCCTTCAGGGCTCGCCAGTCTTCCAGCGCATCGAGAGAAATACCGTCAGGCACACCCTCTTCGAGACGGGACCCAGGATGGTACTTTTTGAGCGTCGCGACTGTAACCCGCCAGTCATGCTCTTCCTGCTCTTCTGGCGACAGCTCTTTTTTGTAGGCTGGCGGCGCGTCAGGCTTGACATCCTCCTCCGGGTCAGCTTCCGTTTGGATCTCCATCTCGACGGTATTGCGTGGCGGGGGTGGTTCCACGACAGGTTCTGGATCGGTCTGGGTACTGAGCGACGCAGTTATTATCTTGACTTCGGCGTCCGTTTGCGTTTTGCACGAGACATAAAACTGCTCGAGGTCATACTGCGTGGCCATATCCGAGTACTCTTTCCGCTCCTCGAACTCGCGGCGCTGGATGTTCTGCATCCGGTTGTCCATCGCCTTGCTCTGGACTTTGCGCTTCTTGCGTGTGATGATAGTCTGGATGACATCTTCGCCCTCGGTGTCTTCGTCGTCTTCGTTTGGCGAGCTTGTACTCGCAGGCACATCTGCAGCCTCCTCTTCAGGCTCGTCGTTCCACCCGCCTTTCATTTTGAGCAGTTCAGCGCCAAGACTCTTGCTGATCGTGTTTGCGGCGCTACTATGACCGCTCGAGCCACCGGCGACAGCACTCGCGTTATTGCTCCGCATTTCGTCCAGGTCAAAGCGCATTCGGTCAATAGTTTCTTTGAGCAGCATATTCTCTTGCTTTTGCTCGTCAAGCTGGATGTGTGCTTGTTGCGCCGCCGCCAACTCTTCCTCGAGTTGGGCAATCCGCGTCTCGTAGATCTCTGCGTCAACCTTGAGTTTGCGGATGTCTTGGTTCAGCGCCTCAGACTCGTTGTTGCGATCACGGGTGCTCGCGTCGCGTTCACGAATTTCGTCGCGATATTTGTTAGCCATGCTCAATTGGTCCTGATACAGCTTGTTCATCTTGGCATATGAAGCCTTGGAAGCTTCGAGTTGCCGGTTGACTTTCGAGATTTCGGCCTCCAGGGTTTGAATCTGATGATGGCTGGAACGCTGCGGAATAAATCTTTAGTTTCTGGTGAAACTCAGAGTAATAAGGCACACACCTCCTTGATTCGCAGTTCCTTTTCCTCTCGCTTGGCCGCGCTGAGCTCGTTGGACAACTCGTCCAGTTTACTTTGGAGTTCTTCCTGGATCGACTCGTGTTCTGCCAGCTTGTTTTGCAAAGTCCGCTCGTTCTCCATAAGCTTGCGGGTGAGGTCGTCGTTCACCCGCTGGAGGGCTTCAACTCGGTCTTGTGGCATCATGCTGACAGTGCTGGACGCAGCTGAGCGGTCCATAACCATGTCCATGCGGGCCTCATCATCGCTGTCTGAGTCGTCTTCGGTCGGTCGGGGCATGGGTAATGAGTTCAGCCCTTGACGGAAGGTATGGTCCAGATCATTGTACAAGTCCTCGTCGAGGGTTGGTCGACGGCCCTGTTGGCGAGAAGATGGTCGCGAAAAACGACCATTAGGTGGAGGGGAGCCGGGGTTGTCGAAATCGTCCATCATGTTGGTTGAGGGAGATGTGGGATTGGAAGGTGCCCGTATACGACCCGCTGGACGCCCATAAGCGCTTGGGCTGGCTGATACTTGCTGTAACACGTCAGCTTTGTAGAAATGGGACAAAGAAGGTGATTCCGCGTACCTCAGAGTCACTCCTACTTCCTGCATCGCTCTTCCTCCGGTGATGTGGTGGTCGTTTCGTCGCCCAACTTGAGGGTGCATTTCCTCCCAGCGGCGTTGACCTTTGACGCCGCGAAGTATCGAATGGGGATGCAGTAGAGTTGGGGGTTTGTGGCACGCCTCTCGACGGTGGCCTACTATGATTTCTCGACGTCCCAACGGAATCGATGCTTGAAGAACGCGAGTCACGCCCTGAATTTACAACGCTGCGGTCGTCCTGTCTCCCCCGCGGTGAATCCAGCTCGTCCTCCGTCATTGGCGGGCTCTGAGGCGGGCTGTTCTTTGTCCTGGTGGCAATGAATGCTAGCGTAATTTGCGGCGTGACCTCGAGGTCTGGATTGGTGGCGAGAAGAGCTTTCAGTTGCTCGGTCTCTTCAGGCGAAAGCAGTTCTACGCCATTGGAGTCGGCGAATGTTTTGAGAACATCCACGAGGGCGTGGGCGGGTATAATGGGTGTTCCATCATCGCCCACAGAAGAGTCGGGATGTTGTTCGAATATGGAATGCAAGTCGGTTTCGAGGTCGGCAACGGAGTCGCGGTTCCGGCCATAGAGTTTGTTGGACTGCAGCGGGGTCAGCGACATAGGCTGTTAGTTGAGAAACGACGCACCATGGTGAGAGTGAAGGAAGATGCTTAGGCAGTTGGCGGATGGACCATAAAATGTCTCAGAGTCGGGACCAAACGGAGGCGTGACGTGACGTGCGTTACGCATCAACAATGGATTCCGAGTGGTCCTCATACAACCACAACAATACATGAATTCCAGACAATGGGGCATGTAATCTCACCTTCAGCATGCATATGGACCAAGCAGGGATAGCAACACTACATCACATCCCCTTCCAAAAGATTGTCCGAGCAAGCGAACTTATTTGCTCTTGCTCTACATAAAGATCTACTCCGCTGAGCCTTTGAAAAGTAACCGTCGGATCTCATTCTTATTCCCAGCGACTTATAAAGAATCGAAAGATGCCTATTGTCTTTGTGGTTGTGGTATATCCAGCGACCACGCTTGTCACTACAAGAACCCAAAATAGATAAGCATCAGAGTCCACAGTTCACAGCAAGACACCCACTTCCATAAGCGCTCATCACTCTGCTCTACTCACAGTACTTGAGCTCATAGCCTTCAACTGCTGTCACAGTCGGCACTGTTGCCTGGCCTCAACAACGTTTTCCGTTATATTACCGCGTCTACAGTGGCTTGTCTTTGTTCACAACCCACCCCAAACTCCCGCTCGCTCTTTCACCACCATGTGCGGCCTTGATTCATTGTCTTGCATCCTCTCTCTTACCACACTCCAGGTGGTTCTCAGAAACCTTCATAGCCAGTTACCCTCGTTCGACCGTCGCATCGGCATTAACGGAGAGCATCGACGACATCACACAAGAGGTTCTCTCCACGGTGCAGCACTTCAGCTCCAGCGTTAGAACAGAACTACTCTGCGAGCAGCGACCTCTCCGGAGAGTCTACATCCTATTTAGCCATCTCGACTCGCAATACGGCAACGTCGAACTCATCCGCGCTTTCCAACGGGCGCTTATCCGCTTTGGAGGCATTGAGTACATGATCAATGGGGACTTGCTTGCGCGTCTAGCCGCCCCCTCTCTACAAGAGGAGGAATTCGACTGGCAGACCGGGGAGTATATTTTCTCCCAAAGACATGACACAATATCGTCAGGCGATGGTCCCCCAACTCACGGGGAGGATGCGATCGCCCCACAAGCACTATCTCCGCACAGGCCACCAAGCGCGAGCAGCCACCGTGGAAACCATGCTGAAGAAGCTTCCAGAACGGAACCTCATGGAGCACTTCCTTCGTACCAGACCGCAGCTGCACCTGCTGTCGCTGCGGCGGGGCCAACTCACGAACTAAGCTCAAACTCAAGCTCCCTCGCTCAGCCCCAAGCCACTCAAAATTCTGCCAGCGACCTGCCGACTCCGGGCCCGCAGCTCAGACGACACGGACTGACCCACTGGCTCTATGTCCATATTTGCAAGTGGCCGAAGCGTCTGACCACACACCCGGACCGAGCTCTGCCAAGACAATCTTGAGATTGTATTTGTGGGGATTCTGCTCAAATGTGACCAGACTTCTGGACGGCAAAAGCTACATATAGAGTAACTGGGTCCGCTAAATGTATTCCTTATTCTACAACCTTCATAAATGCATGACTATGAGCTAGGTATACTCGTAATGAAGCTGGGGGATAAAGAAGCACTAGAGTTGCTCTGAGGAACGGGAGTCACGACGTTCGCAACGCTTTGGCAACTTGGAAGGGTACATAATTTTTGTTTCGAATCATTACAACTTGAAGTATTGTTACAGGTGACCATTTTCTAACGCAACGGACTTGAAATCTGGTATCATGTCCTCTTGAATGATCCTGATGGCCGCTTCAAGCTGTTTCGCTTTGCTGTCGGCCACGGGAAGAACCGAGTTGAGGTTGCTCCAATATACTAGCACCTTGTTGTCGTCCAGCCCACCAATGGGAATTGTGGCATACAGAATCATATCTTTGTCGCTGGCGTTCCCTGGGAGTGTTTTTGGTGGGACAAATGTCATCGTGGAAGGGAGCACAGTATAATCAACTCCGGCATAGAACGGTGGCTTTTGATGCATCCAAGCCTCGGAAATTTGTATTAGGACTGCAGGATGGCGCAGATAATGTTTAACGACGCAGAGCGTGAACTCCGAGTCATCTATTCCAACCGGGTCGGCTTCTGTCATCCAAGTTAGGCATCGCTTGGCAGGTACACCCAGTCCACTTACGCGGATCGCCTCGACAACGCTTTTGGTGCATGGACCATTCCTTCTGCTGACATGTCGAAGAACAGTATGCAGCTACGACGCAGCCCCCGCATCGGAATTTCACCGGAAGATGACACTATAGCAGCCCAATGAGCAACAACAGTATGGAACAGACAAAATGGAGTGGACCGACTCACACTAGCAGATTGGCACTGCTGCTTTCTCTCTAAATCGCTTGAGTTGGCCAACGGCATTCGGGCACATGCAATCCCGACGAAATGTAACCATGCGTTACAACCGCGAGGAAAGGCGTCTGAGGACTGGAGCTGTAACAGTGCGTCGCTGCCGAGAGATTTCAAAGATTGGTGGATGTGTCTCAAGACCGGGAGATGGACCATATATATCGGAAGCCGGCTAGTAAGCAAGGCTCTAAACTCTTGGAGCACATTCGAGTCGAAGTCGCCGGTGGTGTTTAGCCAGGCATTACAATGAGCGAGCCCGACCAGTAAACCTAGTTCTAATGCGGCGATCACGCTGGCAATTCCCAAACTCGCCAAATATTTGTTGAAGAACCGGAATATGCAGTGCAACGCATCCAGAACAATTTGGCAGGTTTTGGGGTTCCATGACGATGGAGCAGTTAGCTGCAATAGAGCCTCAGTCACGAGCCCAACGAAGTTGCGCTTGACAAGGGACGGCCTCAACGGTCTCAAATCGTGGAGAAGCATAACAGTCTCGAGGTTAAGGCAAAGGCTCTGCAATGCAGAGACGCTATGGTTGGTCGTGACAAGTGTGGATATAGCCCTTTTCAGATGGATTATGGCCACGTCGGCGCTGGCGTCAAATTGTGTGCATTGTGTCGTTACTAATGACTCTATGGTTCTGACGTCCAGAGCGAGAATATGCAGCTGGAAGATATGGGAGGTGCTCGGGAGACAGTCGACGGGGAATAAATCTCCTAAGCCTTTGGCAAGTTGGCCGCCAAGTGTATAATCGTGGGCCTCATGTCGCCACAGGCTCACAATGAGCTCGAGAATTGGTGTCGACTTCATTATCAAGGAGCGCAAACGATCATTTTTCGAGTAAAAAGATACCAATGAGATGAGCGTGGTGAAAGCGTGGGGAGCTGAACCAATGCTCTCCGGCGTGAGCTCGGCAACGGTATGCGTCCGAAAGACAGCGCGACTGTAAGTGAGGCAAGAGGCAGATATCGAAGGCCAGTGCGAGGTCAAAACTCGAGTGAAGTTTATGTAGGGGCATCGGCGAAGGGTGGACAAAAGACAGGTAAGTCCAGCCCCTGCGCCATGGGTTTGTTGCTGGTCATATATCGAGGATTCGGCACCGGTCTTGTTCAGAGGAAGAAGAAAGACGATGATTTCTATGGTTTTGTGCGCATTCTGCCCGATATCATTGGACGATGCCTCTTCTATTGTGTCAGCCAAGGTCACAAGCTGCTGAAGCGCTTTTTCAGGGTCGTAGACTTGGATTGGGCGAATGGTGTTGAGCTGTAAACGACTGAGTTAAGTATGTGCCATATGGTGCTGTAGTATTTACCAAGGTCACTAATCTTGACATGGGCTCAGAAATCTCAACATAACTTAGTGCGAGTTGAGATGAAAAAAGTGGTGGTGGTGGTCACGCCCCTAAGTGTGACACCCCCTAAGTGATGCGCGCAAAATCGATGCATCTTCTAGCTCTCTGACCAAATACATTGCTATCTGCGCCGTTAGACTCTGTTACACGCCGACCAAAACAAGTGTCTTTTCCAAGTCAGAGGCCCCCCCTCTGCCAAAAGCAGTTTCTAAGTACTCTTTAGTTGTTTTGATCGTGTCGTACGTCGTCAAATATTCCTGCAAGTCGACACCTGGAAGGCTTTCAGCACAACTGAAGCACATAGATGTCAAGCCCCAAAACTCACGTTTCAAAAACTCGATGCGGTTTGCAGGTGTCGTTTGCGCGACTGAATTGACGTTTACAAACTCGCCGCGGTCCTTGCGGAGGGTATAGAATGCCTCTAATCGTGCGGCGACTTGGTCTTGCGCGACCTCTCCTGAGAACAGCACTCCCAGGCAACCAGCCTCTTCGATGGCCATGGCCGCCCCCTGGCCAAGCAGCGGAAGTGTTGCATGCGCGGCATCGCCAATAATAACAGTCCGTCCCTTGATCCACGTAGGAAGGAGCGGTAGAGCACGGAGTTGCCATCGAATAATTGGAGCCAGCATGGGAAGGTCTAACAGACGAAGAAACTTGGGATGGAAGTCTGTGTAACTTTTCAGGACCGATTCTTTCGAGACGATTTGTGATAGTGCTAAGATAAAAATATGAGTTGTGACTTAAAATGAAGAAGAAAAACTAACGCTGATCAACGGTGGGCTCCTGGTCTGTATCAAAGCCTCCAAAATTGATGACTTGAGTGCCGCGAATGGGGTATGCGACGAGTTCAGAGAGCTGCGCGACTTCAGATCGGATGCTGACGAAGTTGTTCTGAAACCAGTCGAGCTCTGGATATTCGGCAATGCTGGACGGATCAAACAGGCATCGATAACAAACCCATCCCGAGGGTTGTGCGTGAACTTCCCGACCTAGGATGCTGGTACGTATGGTCGACTGCAAATCACGTTGAGAACCGGAAAAAAAGGTTTAGACAGAACATCCTACATGTACACCGTCAGCGCCAATGAGGAGGTCTGCGTGAACGGTTTCGCCGCTTTCGAGAGTTATGGTTGCGGTTTCCGGATCACAAGACCGGACTCTGCTGCCAAGGTAAAGCTGTACTGGCGCGCCGTTTACAGCGTCGTCTCCCGTCGCCAGTCTACGCAGTTCGTTGTAAAGGTCACTTCGATGGCATGCGAGACCCTTGAAGCAACATTTCAGAGGTGTTACTAGTAGAGAATAACTTGATATACTCACCTGGGCACCTTCTTGTTGTAGAGCAGCAAGCTTCGGTACGGGATTCTCCCTGCGCTCTGCTGTTGCGGCACTGTAAGTTATGATCTGGTGCATGGTTGAGCACCGAGAAATAGAGAGAAAGCCCAAGCGGTTCTTACAGATGGAATATTACACCCTTTCAAGTTCTCTCGCTTGACCCCAAGGGAGTTGAGCACACGAACGGCGTTGGGTTGCATGCCCAGACCAGCGCCGATTTCTGTCTTGATCTTAGACGACTCATAGACCTGAAGTAGTCGAGTCAGCGCTTCCCATTAAGCAAAAGAAGAAGAGAATATACCTTCACGCAATGTCCGGATTTACGGAGCGCAACAGCAGCAGCGAGACCGCCAATTCCAGCCCCGACGATGGTTACGTTCAGCGGCCGAGTAGTCATTGGCTGGGAGCTGAGAATTTCCTACCCATGAGTCGAAAGCTACTAGTGCTTTATACATGGGCAAGAAATTCTGCAGCGGCCCAATTCGAGTGCTCGAAGTTGGATTGTGGTTGAAAGTGATAACATAAGCGGCCGCGATCAATCGGATGATGCGGGTGAAAAGGACAAGAACGAGCGCCAGTGTTCCGCATTTGAAGTATCAGAAGTGGTAGCAAGTTGTCGAGGCCCACTGGCCACTTCAAGAAGTACAGTTTCTAATTGAATGCGTGATCTGTCAAGAAATCCTTTTGCTACGACAATATTACTACCCAACTGCTCTCGGAAGAAGATCCGACGTAAGCTGGCAGTTGAATGTTATAATTATATTATTGCAAGTGTGAGAGGGTTTCGTCTTAACTCGCAAACTCCACACTACTCGACTTGACCCGCTCCGAAATGATTGTCGAAGTATTCCTGGCTTGTCTTAATCGTGTCATAGTCCCACAAATAAGCCCGGAAGTCCGCGTCTGAGAAGAATGAGTAAACATACCCCACAGACAAGTATTCCTTACTTTTCGTAAACTTGCCGCGATTCTCCGGGTCTGCCTGCGCAACGGACTGGACATTGACGAACTCCCCACGCTCTTTACGAAGTGCTTGGAATCCAGCCAGCCTGGCAGGTACTTGATCCGGAGTCGTCCCCACAGGGAAAAGCACTCCGAGACAACCAGCTTCCTCGATCGCCATGGCGGCCCCTTGCGCGAGCAATGGCATCGTAGCGTGTGCAGCATCTCCTATGATGACTGTTCGTCCATTCACCCAGGTGGGAAGAAGGGGCATAGCGCGCAGCTGCCATCGGATGATCGGGGTGGTAAGAGGAAGGTCAAAGAGGTGGCGGAAGTTCTGGTGGAAGGTTGGGTATCTTTCCAAAACGGCCTCCTTCGACACGGGTTGCGCTATGGCTAAAAATGTGGTGAACAAAAGATATACTAAGGGAAATATCTTCACGTTTACTAGAGTCTCGCTCTAGGTCGGTATCGAACGCAGCAAAGTTGATGAGGGTGTTGTCACGGATGCCGTAGACGATATACTCCGAAAGCTGAGCGTTTTCTTGTCGCACACTGTTCATATTCTTGATGACCCAGTCAAATTCCGGGTACTCCTTGATCTTCGACCCATCGAATAGGCAGCGGTAACATGCCCACCCAGTTGGTACAGCCTGAACCTCGTGACCGAGGACGCTTGTTCGGACGATGGACTATGCAGAACTTTGAGAGTATGATCAAGAAGGAAAAGTAAGCTTACATGGACACCGTCAGCCCCGATAACAAGATCTGAGGCCACAGTCTCGCCGTTGGAGAGTGTGAGACTTCCAGCCTCTGGATCACAGCTGACAACTCTATTCCCGAGATGTAATCTCGCAGGGGGGCCGCTTGCAGCACCTTCCTCCGTAGCAAGTCGACGGAGCTCAGAATGAAGGTCACTACGATGACACGAAAAGTTCTATATGGCATGGAAGAGAGAGAGAGAGACGAAATATATGACATACGTACCTCGATGCCCTCCTTTTTAAGGGCCTCCCAGTTTCGCGCTGGAAATTTTGTGGACTCCGCTGTTTCGGCGTTGTGAATAGTGATCTGCAGAAGATGAATGAGATCGAAGAGTCATATCGAATTACTGACCCCATCGAAAAGACCGCCTCTCAGGTTCTCTCGTTTGCATCCGAGGGACTTGAGCACACGGACGGCGTTTGTTTGCATCCCTAACCCAGCGCCGATTTCAGTCTTGATTTCAGACGACTCGTATACCTTCAGTTTCTTCGTCAAATATGCCCCTCAACGCAACCAATGAACACTCACATCGACGATATGTCCCGCCTTTCGTAGGGCAGCCGCAGCCGCAAGCCCCCCAATGCCAGCCCCAACGATTGCAACTCTTAAAGGGCCTACTTCGGTTGTCATCGATTAGAAATAAGAGCTCGCTGCCGAATGTTGTCGTGCCTTTATACGATGGAAGTCGAAGTCGCGATCGTGAGAAGAGGCATTCAAGAACCAGGGTCAAGTTCGGTAAGATTTTCCTTGTTCCACCGGTTGAATTGCTGCTAGGCATTAGCACAATTGAGCAATACGAAGAAAACAGCGCGCACCATAAGCTTACATCGGCCGAGCCGCCCAGATCGCGTCAACTTCTTTTCTATCGAAATGGATGAAAGGTGGGTCAAAGCACAGTAAGCAACTTGTAAGTTGGTAAGCAATGCCAACTTGTGTGAATGAGTGGCTCACTCAAGGTTTATGTGTCTGGACTTTGCGCTCGAGCTTGAAGAGCCCATGACATGGAACTGCTGATTGAGCTGCCGACCGAATTGATTACCGTATCTAATACGAGGGGGGCATTCAGCCGAGGATAATCGGTTGTCTGACGCGTCTATGCTTTGCTGAGAGCGTCTTTCCATGTATCCGTTGGCGTTCATCTGTAAACACTGACAGTGCTTAGTTGTAGACGGCGAAATAGTCGATGAGATGACACACTGGGGCTATCGGAGCTAATGGAGGCCCCTACGACGTCTCGGTCAGGTCCTTGACGTGCAGCCGTTCTGCGGACTTGCTTAGTTTGAGCGCTGTTTGAGCTAAGTTAGTTCTAGTTAGTTTGAGGAGGAGTTGAGTCACGCCGGATGATCACGTGGGTCTGATTCACACAAACTTCGTATTGTGAGCATCGAGAGTGTATTTATTGGTCGAGCGCACACAAACACCTGCTTCATCGCTCGGGCTCAAAAACAACACTACTAGGCTGACTCGGCGCAGAAGCAACCACTTGTAACCCACTGTTCCTCAACTCCGTCAGCAACTCTGGCGGTTGGATCATCTGCAGCGTATCTACCACCAGCTTTTCCAACCTGTGGTCTTGCCCTAAGCGATGATTGCGGGCTCGATTGATTGCCCTGAGAGTGGCAACCTTGAAGTATTTGCACTCGCTGAGGCTGAGCACGCGAATATGGGGCATGAGACGCTCGTCGGCGAGAATTTCCAGCACTGGTGTAGGGACACTCAAGGGGGCGAGTCCCAGGCGAAGATGGGTGAGACAGTTTAAAGAATGCGCTGCTTCCAGGACGGTCTTCAGGCCTCCTATTGTGCGCTCGATCACTACTTTTGCCGAGATAGTCCCATGCATATGCAACGAAATGGTGAGTTCTGTGATGTTCGAGAAGCGGTCAAGGTATCTTGCGGCCTCTGCAAGATATGTGGCGGCATGGATGGGATTATTAGAGACAGATTGAATATCGTGAGGAATTTGAATAACGAGTTTCTGCAGCGGCGCGGGAACGACCAGTTTCATGATGTCTGAGATGAAGCTTGGATAGCAGTCCTGGAAAACAAGTTGTTGACTACCAAGGTTACAGCTCTTCGGCCTCGGGGAGTCACCCTCGCATTCGATAAATGCCAAGCGCGTCAGCGTTAATGGTGTGCCAGAGCCAGCGGCATATGGCAGAATATCCGCAAGTCGACTGTGATAGACTTCGCAAGTTTGGAGTTGTGGTAAGATACTCCAGAGGACATGGGGGTTCATACCATGAGGCACGTTAATGCGGAGATGATTGACGCTGGGGAACAAGAACAAAAGATTGACCAGAACAGGAGAGCCCGAGTTGATATGCATGTGATGAGGGAATAATGACAAGAGGCGGACATTGACGAAGGGTTGGCCGGCCGCAAAGAAATTGATGTGTTCCAGTAAGCCACCGGACACGTCCATACGGAGGGATATTGCTCGTTGGATGATGTGGGGGAGAATCTTGGAGAGAAAAGGGTAGATAATATCTGTTTCCGTGAGTATATCGTTGCCGAGTCGAACACTGAGTGAAAAAAGTGAAGGCAGCTATTCCAGTCGCATTGACCTGGCCAAGAGTCGATCGAATTGTGTTGTGGATCTCTAACGAGGATGATGAATTACTAAACCAGACAGCACCGATGTGGCGCGGTATATCCTTCAAAATTTCACGCCAGCAACGACAGCTGCTAGCTAGCGCCCATAGTTCGTCAGGTTTGTCCCGTTCAGAGTGAGAGGAGAGATGAGAGGCAATTTCGTGACATAGTTCTGTCGGCAACTGGCGAATTGGAGCAAGAACTCGCTCATGCGAAGCGATGAAGTCGCCCAACAAACGACGCTGTGTTTCGGCATTGCCTTGACACGTTATATCCAGACTCTCCAGGGCAGACTTTGCCCGGAGAATTGCCGAGCGAGCCAACTCAATTTGCTCCGCGGTCGGTTCAACGTTGTTGTCCAAGAGTTCCAGGACTGGACTCTCTGAAACAGGTAATACGACTTCCCCAGCACTACTGTGAAGATATGCAGCATAGAAGGGAGCAACTCGGTAGCGCGACCAACCTGGCCATCGTTGTTGAAGACAGATCCGAAAATGCGTGACTCGGATGTCTCGGATGTCAGGGTGCATTCTCACCTCCTTGTTGTCAATTCTGAGTCCTCGACTCCTCAACATTCAACGTCAGCGTCAATGTGGTTGATTAACAGACTGCTCTATTTCCTATCAGGCCGGCCGGCCCTTACACTCCCCAACGAAATCTATGGCTTGTTTGCCTCACATCTTCCTCCCGCAACTCTTCTTGTTCTTTGTCGTGTTTCGCGCGGTGTTTATCTCGAAGCCCGGAGACACTTATACTCTTCTCTCGAGCTCAAACCCATAGTTGACCGCAAAGATCGACAACCTGCCCCGCAGCGCGGCCTCTCGCAACTTCATTTGTGGATCCAAGCATTGGCTAGCAACCCAAATCTTTCGGTATATATTCAGACCGTTATACTCCACCTACCGCATGACTTAGGTCCCAAAGATGCTATACAGCTTGCCTCTACACTCTGCTTATGCATCAATCTCAAACAACTTGAGTTTTGTCGACAAGACAAACCCTGGGTCGGGGGATCAGGTGAGCTGTCTCAGTTGACCCCTGAGCCCTCCAGCGCTGACACTAAATTTCCAGTCGACACAAAGGTCGCGTGTATATTTTGGCAAACTCTCCAGGGATCCAAGTTTCGATTGACTCGTTTCCGGGACACACTTTTCGATACTCGCACAGCACACTCCGACGCTTTCCAAGCTTTCATGGGGCATCAGCGCGACCTCGAGTATCTTACGGTAAGACAAGATATCAAAGGACTCAGCTTTCCGAAGCTTCGACGACTCGAAACCACGCCTAACAATCTTTATCTCGCGGATCGGTCGTTGTGTCTGGAAGAAATGAAGCTTCATGTCGGGAACAACATAAAACGTCCTTCTGAATGGCACGTCCTTAGGGAGATTGCGGCGCGCCGGCGAGACTTCCCAACCTTTGCGCAACTTGAGGTAGTCGACCATCATGATCACTTCCTCTTTGCAGCTGCGCTTGTCCGGTTTGTCACCGCAAAAATGCCTTACGTGCGATGTCTCGTTATCAGGCCGCTCGCTTGCATGGTGAAGCGTCTCGCTTTATACTCATGAGACACACTAACACACGGTCTTTGTCAGATTCCCAACAACGCGAATCATTGGAACGATTTGGTGTCTGCTTTGGGGCAAGCGTCCCATCTCGAGGCATTCACCCTGACATTCCACCCTCACGTTTATGCCAGATTGTCAGCATGGTCTGAAGCACTCCATCGCGTCATGTGGGGATCGAAGACTAGGACTCTTCGTTATGTCGAGGTCAACCCTGGCGGTTACACATCGCGTCGCTCTCTATATCGCCGCAAGGATTGGCCTGCAGTTCCGCAGACCAGCGATGATATGTTACAGTGGACCATATACATTATGGAGGTGTAATTTGACCTAAGTAACGACCTTGTAACCGTTCTCTCCGGGTGGGTCATCGAGCTTATTGAATTTGAAGACCCATGGAATTTTGCTAGGCATGTAAGTAGTAAGGGTCTCAAACATTTAAAAGGCTATAGTTTTCCAGCCTTATATGTCTTTTGTCAAACTTCCACCCTTGCACACATAAGCATTTTCTAGAGACAGGGGCATTTTGGGATTGTGATCCGCCAGTCTTCTTCTCTTCCTCCCTATTATCATTTTCAGGTACTTGTAATTTGATAAGTGCCTTGGTGAGTTGCGGCTCGCTCAGTGTGCATGCTCAACTAATTATGCTACACAGGAACTCAGATTTGACTTCCCAGAGAACTTGTAGGCAATCACCTTTCATCAAATCACTGGTGACCGAGAAGGCGACCAAATAAATAAATATGTAAATCTGTCCTCCTCTGAACGAAAAAACAAACTCTACACGAAGATTATATAATTTACGGCTCATACATAACCAAGAACGACGGCCGAATCGCATCGTTGCTGTAAACCACGAGCTCGTCGTAGTTCAAACTACCACCCTTCTCCGCCAAGACCTATGGTGCATGTGTCAGGATTATAGGATTCAGCCAACGAGGCCCTACCGAATCATATCCAGTCGGAGGTGCAGTCAACGCAACGTTGTCGTGCGTAAGCTTACACCCCCTACCAACTATGACTTTGTTGAGCAGAATCGCCTTGAGGTTCGAGGAACACTCGTTGTGTGAGTAGTCGTTCGACCTACATGACATCAGTAAAACGCGATCACGTGGCATATGCACATACTTGGATGATGTCGAAGACGTGTAGATGCCCTTCCCAAACCTCCCCCACCCTGTCTTCGTGCCCCACAGGCTTATATCAAACGAGGACTTGATGATGCAGCAGAGAGAACACTTCGTGGACTGGCACAGCTGCGCTTGCCCCTTGTCCCCAACATTGCACTCTCGCTTTGTTCCGTGCCAGCGCCGATTCTCGTTTCCTGGCGAGCGCCCGCTGGCGACAAAGTGTCCAGCACTCTCCACGGTTGTTCTAGAAAAATCTTATGTTATGCACACAGGCCTAGGGATAGAGGAACCTCGTACTGGTAAGTCTTATAATTAGCCATTGACGTTTGCGTGGAGACAATCTTGTAGACGCGGCGCACGGGGGGACAATACTTGTTGGCGTGTCTCCACGATGCCTTGAACTGGTCGGCGACTGCCTCCAAAGATCAATATGATTCCAACGGAGCGTAAACGAGGCGACTGACCGCTTTTAAACGTCGCGTGTCCAACTGGAACCTCCAGCAACATCGGGCCGCTCTTCTCGGCGTTATCAGCACAAGTCGTGCTGCAGAAATGCGACTGCGAAAGCTTCGCAGCTTGTTTACACATCAGGCATATCGTTTCGCCAAGCCTTGAGAGGTATAAGAAAACTCATCGACCAGGTCAAAAAGCCTACGTTTTGTGGGCAAGTGAGCAGTAGCTCCCAGAACTTCCATCAGCATTGGTATGCGCGGGTTTCTGGCAGCCAGGTGCATGACACATGCCTTTCATACTACTCATTAGCTTTGCGCCAGCACGGGATGAATACACACCTTTCGCATTAGGCTTGAGTTGGGGGTTCTGCGCTGCCGCGTTCTTGGAACAGGCTTTACTGCAAAACGGATGTGTCCTCTTGCCATCGAAATGTTTCGGCCGAACACCACAAAACTGACAATGTATCATGAGCATGGGAATACTAGGAAACTTAAGACCAATCACATCGCAATTCGCTGACTTGGGGAGATTGTTCCCGGAGCTGGGAGGTTGAGCAGGCAATTTTGCCTGGTTTGCACACCCTTTAGAACAATAAGGATGTATCCGACTGCCATCGGAGTACTTGGGTCGGACTTGACAGTTCTGCAGAGGAGTCAGTATTGATCACGTTTTGATTGAGTCAGCATACATCACAGAGATTAGCGTTGATATTGCTGGATGCAGGTGGACTTGTGCCAATATTAGCGACTGCGGCGACAGCAGCACTCGCAGCAGTACGAGGTGGACTTGTAGAGACATTGATGGGAGCAGATGGCGCTGGAGGCGCGGCCGGCACGCTCTGAGGTTGACTGGTTGTTGTTGTCGAAGAACCCATTCCAGTCGTCGTTGACGCTGTTGTCGAAGAAGCTGCTGGTTGTTGGGTACTAGCCGCGCTAGGGGGTGTCCACAACTGTTTCCCACTAGGGTACTGCGTCGCAAAGGTATGGAGAAGTGAAAAGGCCAGCGGGATGGTCGAGGCCATAGAAGGGCAAAAGTCGATAGACGCTCGAGGCGTACGGATAGTGGTGGAGCAAAGTGTCGACAGAACACCGGCTGAACTGGGTTGGCATCATAAATAGGTGGAATCGATGGGGCCGCTTCCAACGCGGCAAAGGCATGTTGTCCATAACATGTAGAGGGCACGTTATCGAGCCCGCAAGTTGCACTCTTCCTCCTCCCATCTCTTCCTTCACCATGCCTTCTCTCTTGCACTGGGGATCCCGCCAGAAGACACCTACGCCCGTTCAGAACGACTTGTGCGATGTATGCGACAGCATGTTCCTGAAGAGAATATATCGCTGACCCTGCTCGACCAGTACTGTGGCCAGAAACCCAAGTTCATCGAGCCCGGGGGGTCTCGCCATGCATACTGCAGTCGAAGCTGCGCAAAGAAGGCAGCGCAAGGTCCGAGCCCGTCAGCTTGCGCTTTGCGAGGTTGCCGAGCCACCGGGAAGGCCGCGTTCTCGGATTTCTGCTCAGACGAGCATGGCAAGTGAGTGATGTATCAGGCTTGCTGTGCTTTCTCTAACGATCGCAGACAAGCGGTTGCTCTCGGACAAGCCAAAGGTTGCGATGCCTGCCATGAATTTCCTCGCGCTAGTGGTGATCTTTGCCTTGCTTGTGATCGCAAATTTCCTGGGGTCCGATTGAAGGACCTCGCCAGCACAAGTGCGGCTTACAACGACCGTAAGGTCTTTCCCTCCATGCTTGTCGACTTATAACGGCCCATTTGTAGTTCGTGTCCAATTCATGAGTGAATGGGACGGACTTAACGCTGTCCGCCCCAAAGTCGACAAGATCTTCCAGATAGTCGTGCCTCGCGACATTCGTGCTCGACACGACGCATACCGGTTTGTCCGCCGATGTTACCCCTTTCGTCATTTCCATTAAATTTCCCTCTCCCCCACCAGCTCGAAACAACGTGTTCCGCGAGAGATCCGCGTGTTCCATAGCGCGCAATGCATTTGCGACATGGGCACTAAAGGTCCTGTTCTATGCGACTTCAAATCGTGTGGAATATGCCGCGTCGTCAAGTCGTCGTTTAATGAGTTCGCGTTTGGCGAAAAGTTCAATATTGGAAGGTTTGTGGCATCGATTGTGTGTGGCCGTGCTGATGACATTGAAGGTTTGGAGAGGGTATTTATTCCTACCACAACCCCAGTCTGGCCGATGCCCATGCGACTTCTGCAACCAGCACTCCTTACAGAGTGATGATTGCATGTGACGCGAGTGTGTCGGTGGAGAGCGAGGTTCCGGATGAGGAGTCGTTGTTTCTTCCGAGTGCAGATGCGATAGTTCCGGCCTTCATAATAATGTATAGTGTGTAACAGTGCGGAGACGTATGATAAATTAAGCAGCCACGGGCGTCTTGAAGAGAACTGAAATGATCGATTTAAGGTCGGCAGAGCGGACCTCGGCCCGCACATCCGTTGCGTAGACGATGAGATAAGCAGGACGGATAGCGTCGTTCGTATAAACGACTGTTTCCCCATAATTGAGATCTTTCCCGGGTTCACCGACAACCTAATTTTCGTCAGCACTTGTGTCACACCTCCCAAAGTAATAAACGAACTGAGTGGTAACCAGCGGGTGGCTCCGTGAGATCTTCAGCGTTACACTGCCGATTAAAGGAGTTCCCAACAATGACACGATTGACTAGAAGTGCGCGAAATGGAGATTCGACATCCCCACTGAAATAGTCGTCCGCCTCTGTGGATGGTGAGGCAATGAAATGGAGGGACACAAGACGACTGACTGGAAGAGCATGACGTCGTGTAAATTCCGCTTCCGAATCTGCTCAGAGCATAAGTTGTGGGTTTAAGGGAAATGAAAGAAACTACTGGCCTCCTGAATTTATGGCGTTTGCCTGCAGCAACAAATAAGAAGGGGAAATGGCCACCAATGAATCACTTACCACACTTGGAAACATCGAAAGAGTTGCGGAGAATCGCGCAAAGTAGGCATTCTGGAAGATTACAAAGACGTGCCCCTCGCTTGCTCTCGTCTCCAATTAAGCAACTGCGGCTTGTGCCATGAAAGAGCAACTGCTCATTAGCGTGCCTCGAAACCCGTGAAAGCTCAACCAATGCGCTTTGAAAGCAATTCAATACGCGGAAAATGCAAAGTCAACTTACTTACCGGTATCTGAGGTAGGATATAATGTTCTGCTCCGTCAAGACGATCTCGAAGACAGCGTGGACCTGCGGCTTTGCCTTCTTAGGATGAGTCCAGCTATCCTGAAAGTATTTCTCAACTGAGCAGCGTTAATGACGGATGAATGAATAGATGAAAGAGAAAAAGCTCACGTTGTAGGTACGTTGAATCATTGGGACTCAGCGCGACAAGGCGAGTAGATTTCTTCTTGTGGGTCCAGAGACTAGTGAATGTGTTGAGTCCCATCAGAGCGGCAATTGAAACAACAGACCAAAGTCGTGGCTTTTAGCTGCTGCGGCCATACGTGTTATCGCACCCCCAAACGGAAAAGTTCCTCGAGGTTTGCTGCAAGTTCTTGGGTGATGTGACACCTGTGACGCGACCATCAACCCAATTTCCATGCGTCTTCAACGAGCTCGACGATGCACGCGTTTTCATCTCGTCTTTGAGCACCCATAGGCTGTGTCTCTGCGGAACCTTCCCGGGGAAATAGCTTATACATGCGGCCTTTGAGCCAAATATCGCCCTCACCTAAATCTCGCTCCCACTCTCTGTCTTTCTCAGTCCCTTCATCTACGATATGCAGTCTCCAACACCCATAATCGTCACTAGAACGTCGTCTAAAACCACCATGGTCTCTCCCTGGGACTCTCCGGAGCCATCACCCACTTCCCCCAACGCTACCTCGCCGATGCATTATCGCATTGAGCAGCGACGGTCCATTTATGTCACCACCGATGTTCTTCCCTCGCAGTGGGACACCGCCCAACTCAACAACCTGCTTGACATTGGCGAAACGATTGCTGAGCAGGCTCCATCGCGCGACATCCGAATTCGTTTGACCCGTTCAATGCCTGAACGACCAGTGTTGTTTTATCCAGAACTAGAGGCCAAAGCACCGACAGAAATTGTCGAACAACCAAAGCGGGCCACCGCATACCGTGCCAGAGATTCGGTAGCTTTAAGCCCAAAGTCGCCAGTCATTTCTCCTCCTATTCGTCGAAGTGGTGGATCGCCTCGTACCCCAACGCGCACCCGCATTCTTTTCTACCACAAGACGGACCCACACTACGGCTTCACCAACTTCTCTGCCCATCCGGTTTTCTACGACAATAAACGGTATCCCACCAGTGAACATCTCTTCCAGTCTTTCAAGGTGCGGAGCTTGCTTTTGTCTGCGGGATAAAAATTGATTGCAAATAGTTCATGCCCCACCGTCCCAAGCTTGCTGAGCACATCAGAACTTGCTCAGAACGTCCCAGTGTCGCCTTTTCCGAAGCTCGTCGATTTGCACCCGAGGTCCGCTCGGATTGGAAGGATGTTAACATCCAAATGGTTATCCCCCCTTGCCTACCTGATATCCAACTGAAACATTTTTCAGATGGACATCGCACTATGGCACAAGTTTACTCAGCACGAAAGCTTGAAGAAAGAGCTCCTTGCGACTGACGACGCGGAATTGATTGAGGTGAGGATTTTTACTGGGTACTAATAACATCCTGACATTTGGCCAGGACAGTGACAAGGACGCCTTCTGGGGTATCGGTGCGGACCGGAAAGGACGGAACGAGCTGGGGAAAGCATTGGAAAGGCTCCGGACCAAGCTCCGGGGTTACTGAGCAGTTTCCGCCTTGTTTCCAGCCTTCGTCTTCCACACACACGTGTTTGCATCGAGGATACCATACGCCACCCTCTCTCGCTTACTTATGCCATTCCATTTAACATGCTTGTCTCTACAATACGTCCCCCCTTCTACATCTCTTTCTTATCCTTCATCAATCTCGCACTCTAATGGCTGCTCCTGCCACTGCTCTCCCCGCTGTTGCTACCCAGCTCTGCGACGTAAGCATCGTTTCACGCATCTCCTTTTGTTCAATTTCAAGTTCTTGCCAGTACTGTCACCAAAAGCCGAAACACGGTGGCCATGCGTATTGTTCCAAGACTTGCGCAGCACAGATTGCGACGCTCTGCAACGTGTGTTGTCATCCTCTACCTACCCACACCCTCACGATCACCTGCAGCAATGCCACCAGAAGCCCAAGTACCAAAACTTCGACTACTGCGGCAAGAACTGTGCGGCTGCTGCTACCAAGGCAGGAACTGGCAATGCTACCGGCAACCGGCCAACGAAGAAAGCTGCTCCAAACGCGACACCTTTCGGGACGACCTCTATCGGGGGGGTAACGATTGATCCCCTCCAGATCGCGAGTGAGGCTTTCTTCCGTTTTGTTGAATCCTGTTGAATGATATTCAGAGCTCGTTGCGCAGCACATTCCCCAGGTCCAGAACCTAATGACCGCCGTTGGCCCTGTGATTGGACAGGCCCAGCCGCAAAGCGTGCCTCCTGTGGCCAGCGCAGCGCCACCGCGCGCTGCACCAGCCCCAAAGAATAACCCATTCGTCAACAATGGCGCAAGTCTCGCACCCAAACCGGCAGCGGCGCCCGTCATCCTGCCCGCCGCCAGTTCCCTCTCAACCCCCTCCGCACCAAACGGTGCTCCTCTGGCCGTTCCAGACTGTCTCATCCCCGGTTGCGGCCAGCCTGTCCATGTGGATGTCGCCTCTGGCAGCATAAGCGCGTATTGCTCGAAGAAGCATCGCGAGTACGCCTTAGTTGTCAGACATTGTTGAACAAAACTGACTGTTTTCGCAGGGAAGCTGTAACTCAGGGCCTGGTGGAACCGTGTATTATGTGTCTCGCGTTGCCCCAGAGCGACACTGACTATTTTTGTGGTCGGGAATGCCGGGAAGAAGCGTTGAATAAGAACATTCAAACTCCGCAGTAGAGATGTTCTAGCAGCATCCCATTATTATATCTTAATCTCTGGTAACGCCTATTTATGTGGCCAAAGACAATTGTCTCCACTTTTCGGATCCGGACGCGTCATGTCACAACTCGTGCTTGGATCACGTTGCCTTGCGTGACCGCGTCGTTCAGACCCGTTCTAAGCTGGAAGATTGACTAGAAAAGGTATCCACGGACTCGGTCGAAGTCGTTATTATAGTATATCAACTACAGCATCCCACCGACAAGCCAGACCAACGCTTTTGTACCCAGTCTAACCTGACGATGGTGGCCTGACCACGGCTTTGAATGCGCGAGGATGTTGTCCCGCTCGGCAGCCAGCTGACGGCGCAGAGCCAACACCGCTTCCGAATCGTCGTCCGGCGCAAGCATCAAAAACGACAGCTCGGTGTCGATGTGGGCCGAGCGCGAGTTGAGGTTCGTAGAGCCAAACAATGTCATCAGAGGCAAAGACTCTTCAGACTCCGAGACCCATATTCCTAGAAAGAGAACGATCGGATACTATGACGAGCAGAGTTTTTCAGAGGCTGACCCTTCGCATGATAAGTCCAGCCATCCCGTTCCCATTGGTTGAGCTGCACGCCAAACTGTCGATTGGCATGCAAAACAGCCTGCATGAAGCGCTGTTCAAGTAACGTGTAGCCCTCTGGAATGCGACCGGAGATACCTCGAGAGCCATAGAAGCCATTAGCCTGCAAGGACAAATTTAGATTGTTTTGAGGACCAGAGCGTGGGACTAACCCGAGGACTAGCTGCGACGATGCGACAGTCAACGTTTGGCTTCTCAAGTATTAGCTTCTGGTATGGGTCATACAGTCCGAAGTATCCGCTGGTGAGATCAACAAGTGGACGAGAAGTCGTTGGCGAGTCATTCAGATGCTCGAAAAGCATTTGGAGCGTGTCCTCTTCTTCGCGAATGTTGAATTGCCCTGCCTGCATCAACGGAAACAATGCGATCTTTCGAGGATCAAGCGGTTCGGAGGTTATGTCTATGGACAATATTAATGAAGTGCTAAGGGAAAGTGAAGACAAGCCTACGACGATATGAATCTTGCAGAGACGCGAGTGCAGCTTGCGCAACCCCGTGAATCTCATGTGGGTGCATGTTTGGAAGCGGCCAACGCAAGCTATACTCCTTTGTGTGGACAGAATGCTCTTCTGAGTTCCTTATCGTGGCAGGGAGGAGCTTGAATGAGAAATTCGAGACGGCTTTGATAAAATCGAAGCAGTAATGTGCAAGCTGGTGCTGATGGGAAAAATGGATGTACCGGTCTTGTCGATCCGTAAAGTATGACTTGTTCAGATTTGCACTAGTTGAATGCTTGAGAATGTGAAATGAACAATAAATTAAGCAGTAAGTACCCACTAATCATTAATTCATTGTCGGCACCATATATTTTCGCGTGCCATGTACCCCACCCTTCATTATATCGCGGAGGAACAAGTTTCGCCATCAGACCACGAAGGCTGGGGCTCCTGAAGAATGCCACGTTGACGCGGTCGGGATACTGTGTAACCAAAGGGGCGATAAGTTTCGCTGTCGAGTTTGGCTCAGGGCGGGTAGAACGATTTAGATCAAATAGCATGTCTAGTCGTAGGTTTGGACGTCGTTGTAATGCGCTCGTGAGAAGTTGTACCTTGGTTTCCGTCAGAACATTGAGCCAATGCCTTGCGAACTCACAAGGTCGGACTCGGTTGAGCCTAGATAAAGGGAAGATATGAAGATGCGATGGTGAGCGTTGTTAATCATTTCCTATGAAAGGGGTATAGCAGTGAGAAGTATGCCATATGCAAGTATTGACCTTCAGCTGCTCATGAAAGTCGGTCGGCTTGAGTAGAACCCGTATGTCGGTGGGGGCAACGGTGAATTTGGGATGTCGCAATTTGCTCGTGAATTCGCCAAGTTTGGGGTAAAGATTGGAATGGGTTCGTTTATTTACCCAAAACTTCCTGCACTTGGAGGCAGGAACGCGTCCGCGAAGGAACACCGCACGCGACAACATGAAGGAGATTTTGAGAAGCAGAATGTCACAAAATGACGCGTGTCACACTCCCAATTTGGCTTCTCCCTCATGATTCCTCCCCCCTTCATGGCCGTTTGCGTAGAGACTAGCGGAAGGCGCCGGACTCGTGTTTAAATGAGTAATAGACAGGTCCCCTCCATGTCCACGCGTACGCACTCTTGGGCGGCATTCAGTCATTTCAACCATGGCTTCCACATTTTCATCTCTATCTACCTGGAATTGCATGATGGTCTTCCACCGCCCATTTGCGATTCTTCGAGCGGATTAATATGGGCAGTGAATGCCATGTAGCGCTCGAACTCTACTCGGTGCCATCATGACACGTGCAGCAGGAGTTTCTCTATCACCCCAGAGGCCCGAAGCCGAAGCATTCTGGTTCGGGAAAGATGTGAATAATGACTAGGCTTAAAAGGTACCCCGTCCAATTTGACTCCGTGGGAGCCCACCCTTTCCGACATGCACCCACAAGACGCTACAATGGCCATTGTTGCTCTTGATCAGGACGACCACAGCGACCATAGCGACCAGCTCGACGAGTTTATTCATTCATATTCCTACTCAGATGAAGATGAGGGGCCACAGTCGTCTGTTGTTTCTCCTTCACTTTGTCTTGTGCTCATACTTCCCTCAGGTTTGACGAGGACGTTTCATGTTCGGATTCTGGGTCAGAACCTCCAGAAGATGTGTCGGTGTTTTCCTTGCTCGCGACTTTCCTCCAAAGCTAACTCTCAACTCTATTACTGTTTGTAGTCTGACCGGACTGGAAGCTGAGGACATGGCGTTATATGACTTGTATGACAACAGCGCTGTCGCGTCCCCACAGCCCCCCCAACAGCCCGGTGTTGGCTGCTGACGACTTGGACACCGTCCTGAACACGCTTTCGCTGGAAGTCCCGAAGCCTGATGCACACGGACGACCAAGACGTTTACCGGCCTACGCCTCCCCCTTTTCGAGTTCATCCATTAACAAAAGGTGCAATCATGATGATAACGACCACCAACTGGGTATGTTCGCTTGTTGGCATTGGGTCTGCAGGGATGCGCAGCTGACTGTAATGACCAGTGGCGGTCACGGAAGATTCTACAGAGAGTATGGTTGACTCAGACGAAGAAGAGGAACGTAGCCAATAGCTCCGACGCTGTTCATTTACACCAATCTTTATACGGCCTCTAGAATCCGTCACCCACCCAATTTCTCCGGGCTCATCGTCGATAATCGATTCCCAAGAGAATGAGGTGATGGGTCCACAGCACACTTTCCCCCCAGTCCAAAAATAACACGATATACTTGCCAGAGCGTGTCCTCAATGCCTGCTATTGGTTGACCTTAAATTTCAGTTTCCCGCGAGTGATCATGAAGCTGGTGAAAGAGGATCCACCACAAACTTCCTGATATGCGATAAGCAGGTTTTTAGGCACACGTCCCGGGCCATCAATATCGAACACCTTCTTTCTCTTCTCTCCCCAACCTTCTTGAAGTTTCCTTCAAGTGATTTCCTCAGTCTTTGACGCTTGGCTGCCTCAATCCCCCCAAAAAACAGGTCACGAAATACGAGACTCTTCTATCTGGCAAAGTATTCGTCGGTAGCAAACTTCATGCCGATGATAGATACCGGAGTCTAAGTACCGTCAAATTTGAACTCCCATGAGCATGTGCTTGATTACCCTCCGATCGCGCGAGCTCCCCCACAAGGATACGCGATCCCTCATAACTTCCCTTTCTTTACGCTGGGAAGTTCATTCTGACATGATCTGGAAGAATACTATGACTTCAGGTCCACTTACCAGACTACTGGGTCTTGTGCATCCACAAATGACTAGGATGTTTGCTTGGATATTGCGAGCGTGAGCTGCATTTTAATGTTGGTAGACAGCCTCCCCGCAATCACCAGGCGGGGAGTTCATTTCGCATGACATTAAGCACTCTTGGGACCGAAATGAAGTGGAAATGAACATGTCATTAACAAAGCTTCTTTATGTTACCGGCCCCACATGGGTTTTCTGTTGCTGACGTTTTTCAGCAGCGGCCTTGGCTTCCTTGAGCGGCTTCCTCCATTTCACGGGGGGAGCGTCCCACAAGCCCAACTCCTTCTTCATCTCGTCAATGTTTTGTTCCCAGCGCTTCTCCCAGTAGACCGTGATCAGGCTTTGCGCCGTACCCCCACAACGCAATGCCCAAGGGATGTGCTCGCTCACTAGACGTTGTAGTTGCGTGGAGTTGAGGCGCAAAGGACCGAATAATGCAGACAGAGCGGCAAGTGGGAGACCAAGGTTGACAAATTCGAAATACTTCACTGCGATTTCGGCGTCGACGCTGACCGGAAGATTGACGATGCAGTGGTAGAAGTCGTGACATTCGCGATAGCGCTGCATCACGTAAGCGAGCTCTGGATCGTCGATATAATGCACCTAGAGGGAATATAAGCTGGCTTTGTAGTAAAATACAGAGCACTAACGGGCTCCCGAGTATCCGGAGTCACGCCACATCGCTCCAACCAAGTGGTATATGCTCGTCCGAATGTACCTTCTGGCATTTGAGCGAGCTGGTCCATATTGACAGTGGTCGAGTTGATTCTGGGGCGGTCCTTTAGAATTTGACGGCCTTCAGGGCTAGCAAGCATGATATCTCTGAGGCGAGGCAGTGAAGGGCCTGCAGTAGTTTCGCCCAGGGCAGCGACCATGTCTCTCTCGCCTCATCAGACCAACAGTCGGCTGGTAAGATGTGGCACTTACCCCCTCTGCGAGGATCAGCTAGAGCCATGAAAGCGGAACCAACCGCCATGACCCCATTTTCAAACCAATTCAAAGGAATGTGGCCAGGATACAGCGCAGCTTTGCTACTTGCTGACCGTCGATGATTCAGAGCGCCGCCGGATGTTGTTAAAATACTTGTCCGAGCTGTTCTCGTAATGGGGGTACATGGAATACGCGTCCGAAACAGGTTCATGACGCGAAAAGTGCCGGTAGGAACGGAAGTTGTCGGAGTCCGGGAAAGATAAAGTCGAGAGCTGTGACTGAGGGTTACATAATCAACGGTCACATTTTCAGGTTCTGCATTTGCCCACCACTGCGATATCGTCAAAGGACGATATTTCCCACGCAACCGTCTAACCAAGCCTCCAATGGGCGAACAATGCAGCGTTATCGTGGTCGTTGATGTCAGCGCTCGTGACCGTTCCGCGCGTTGCTTTGTCCGGCGCAAATTCAAAGCGTAGCCCATGCACTCGTATAAAATACGCTCCAGGACTCTACGTCCTGTCACAGCTGTTCCAGCTGCTGGTCTTCCTCCCTCACCACTACCCTCGCCCATCTCTTGCCTCCTACCCACCAATGCCTGCCATCACCTTTCGTGCGACAGAGGGGATGGTTTTGGGACTTCCTGACGAGGACGTACCGGCTCATGTCAAGCGCTATGCCATGTACTTGCCGAATGCAGAGGACTTTGCCCGAATCCAAGCAGAGATTCAGCTCGACACCTTAAGCCAAGAGGATGGAGACGACTCAGTATTGTCGATGGACAACTCGGTCATGTCGGTCGATGATGCGAGCTTCTGGGCTGCAAATGCCCTGGTGGCATTTCCCTCGTCGCAGCAACCAAGCGAAGCCAATTCAGGGCCCACACCAGCTCAATCCATTGCCAACCGCTATCGTGCTGGTCTTCCGATCGGTTTGGATTCGGCTCTCACCCTGCAGGCTGGCAGCGACACCAACTCATATGATATGCTAGAGGAAGTGGAAGAAACCTTTGCCCGAGAGCCATCGTTTGCACCACTAAACTTTGCTGTTCGTGCTCGTTTCTGCTCACAAAGTCTCAAACAGCTTGCCACCGTGGTATGTTACTGTCTTCTTATCGAAACTCCGCCGCTCACATTTGCCGTTAGCGCAAGGAATCTTTCGGGGAGCGTGGCACTGGCCTGCGGGAGGACGCCAGCTGCAGCCGTTCCGATTTTGCTCAGAATAGCAAGGCTTTAGTCTTTCACCAGCACATGCGTAACGTCTATGAAAAGTCTGTTCTGCGTCTCGGGTTGTTTGCCCCCATTACTTATTCTTTTTCTAGAAGCTGGAAGTGCGAGCCTTGTGGGGCGTTTTTTACTAAACGCTACGAGCTTACCGACCACCTCTGCACCTGCCCCCAAGCACTCATGGTGCAAGACATGTTCACTTCGCGGCCCAGCCCCGTCCGTGGTTCGTCGTCCCCCTGCTCAAGTCAATGACCAAGTCCTGAAGTCCGTTGCCAGAAACATTCAAGCGGGTTTTGTCAAAATTTACCTCCCACTAAGCCGTTGACTGCTTAACTGCTTGTGTCCTGGAATCATCCATATTCTTCCGCATACCGATATACCTACATAGAACCATACCCAGTTGTATCTCTACATAACTTTTCGATCAATAATTGTAGCTCTCTCTCACAGGGACACCTTGACAAATATGGTCAATCCTAAACAGACCATTGGCATTGGGAACATGCATGCCTAGTTTACTGAAGAGTTCTGTTTGGTGGTGCCACTATATATTTAGTCTTTTCCCTACTATTCCAGACACAAAGCCCGGGCCCATTTCGCTCGATGTTGGCTTTTGCGCAGATGGACAGCTCGCCGCGAATTGCACCATGGCGTAGTCTACAACATATAGTCAACATTGACCGACGATTTCTGTTTAGGTCCTCGTTAGCTAACTTAGATATAAACCTGAACCACCGTGACTCGAGGAACTGTCAGCTTGAGTGACTCCCTACTTAGCAGATCGACGTCGTATCGGTCGTAGCCTGTGAGCTGTTCCTAGGACTAGAGCTGACCATTGTAGTAGGATTGATGTGGTAGCACGTGATACATCGATACGTTACCCCGAGCCACCACCTCCGTCCGCCCGACCCACTCCATGTGGTGACGAGAGTGTTCTTCGTGCGCCGCTCTGCACGTTCGGTCCATGGGTGGCCATACCCATGTCTCCCATCCGCCTACCCTAGCGATCTGGCCATCGACTGTTGCCAGGTGTCACCAAGTACAAGTCCAGCAGAGTAGCAGTGCCATCGCAGTCTATCTACCATCATCCCCATCTACTTCCCGCACATCCAAACACCTTTCGGGACACCATCACAGTCTTCACAAGGGCTTTCGAGACCACCATCCATCGATCATCGACATGGCGCCATTCTGGGTCGACATTCATCACACTTGCCGTTTCGACATCCCACACATCCAACTCAGCAGATTTTAGCAGATTTAGCAGTATAGTGGTTTATAGTTGGGTTTCTGTGGGCACTGGAGTTCAGCAGGCGACGAGGACGTCGCCATTTCAGAAGGGGGCACCTGTAGTAGGATTGATGTGGTAGCACGTGATACATCGATACGTTACCCCGAGCCACCACCTCCGTCCGCCCGACCCACTCCACCATGTTGCTATCTTCGCTCGTAGTAGTTAAATTAGGTCCGTTCATATCATCATTGACAGTTATCTGCACACTCGAAACTACTTATGCGTCACTGGCACTCTTTCATCTGGCCAACGGTGAATCCGAGTCGTCGGCGATGCTCTATGATGTAGCAGGCTACTAAGTTGTTGTTGTTGTTACACGGTAATAATGCCTTCCCTAGGCCTGAGCAGCGAAGATAGACTTGACAGACTATGACAAATCTGCAAACTCACGTGGCACCATGTGTGAGTTGTGACTGTGGATGTCACCCTAGTAAACCTTCATTCTGAATCTGCAACTTGCAAGCAGTTCTCCCCGCTTTTGCTGAATATCAATAACCTGTAAGCTGACTGCAAGCGTCAGTGTCTTGCACTCAAACATAGACTAGTGTCACACTCAACGGTATTCCTCTATATATTTTCCTGGACTTTCGAGTCTGACGAGCAAGTGAACAGAAACTGCGCCGTCTTTTGCTTGATCTGAAAGGCGAGACATGTCAGTCCCAGAATAAACTACTACATTGAGCCATCTCCTTCGGATTTTCTATCAAAAGCAGTGGGATCCAATTTGAAAACACCGGTGGATCTTTCGTCGACTGCCACTGGCGACTCACTATCAGCCAATAAGTAATCATCAGCCAAAGCTCAAACGATAATCATTGATTGACATGAATCGATCTTTCGCCCGTAGATGAGGCCGCTTTCCGCGTCTACCAGGACATTCAAATCTCTCGTTAAGCACCTTTAACGCTCTCAAGTTGGATCTTTGACTCGGAAACCGTGATTTGCTTGTCTACAACGAGTAACGTCAGTCGCCGGCTTGAACCTCCAATCACACACAGTGCGTAAATCATCGCAAACAAAGCCGCCACCGACAGAATACAGTCGACAGTCATGAGGCCATTGCTTCTTACGCCTGTGTCGAAATCTTAGCTCGACGCGCATAGGTTTGCTCCCAAGTAGACCTTTTGCTGCCCTCTTCACGGAATCGGAACCGTCGCTTGCCATCTGTGCCATGTAGCACTTTGAATCTCCGACTGACGGTGTAATTTGGTTTCATGACTGCTAGCTGGGTGCTAGATACAAGCCGAGAACAAGGCAATGGGCTCTCGTAGGCTGATTTAAAAGGCAGAGACTCTTCCTTGGGCTGTAGAACACTCCCGAGCACTCGACCGTCTACGAGCATGTCGACAACACCTGCAACAAGATTGGTTTGTCTCACTTGTCGGCAAAACAAGATCAAGGTAAGAGGTCGCTCCCGGTTGCGCTCATCGACTGAGGGCAGAATGACATATAGTGCGTCCCCTCGTCACAAGAGCAATCGGCGCCCTGCGCTCGCTGCCTCAAAAAAGGACTGTACTGCCAGTATATGGCTATTCCAGACCCAACATCGTCGTCTTCCGCCCCAGCGACGCCGTACAACTACCAACCGACTCACAGTCCAGCGACCCCAGTCTCTCCGCAATTGCCCGCCTCAGCGCCAACGTCGCCTTACGTCCCTACCACAGGTGTCGACCGCTCCCGCTTCCGGCCAATCCTCCCCGTTCCCGTCCAAGCGCCAAGTCTTCCGCAGACGGGACCGCCGCCTGAGGCCAGTCACCCACGATATGCCGCGGGGCAGTATCCCGATCTGTCTCTCACCGGCTCGGATGGGCCACCCGACTACTATTTGAGGGCTTATTCAAACGCCCATCTCAACTCGAGTGAGCGGGAAGATGAGGGGCCTTATGGAGGCGGTTATTATCCCACCAGCGGAGGCCAGTATCGATATTAAGCAAAGCGGCCACGAATGTCAATGCCGAATGGACTACTTATTGGCAAACTTGAGATAGACCCCCGGAGAATTGCGCGGCGTAGAAGACAAGGAGAGTTTCTGGACTTGAGCTGCTAGACTTAGCTTACAGTAACAACTTATAATCAAATCATCATTCAACAAGTTGAAGCCTTGGTTTGTGTCGAATTTCCGCAGAAGACCAAGTAAATTTGACAACCATGATTAATATTCCTTCCCCACATTCACTAATGCCTCAAGTCCCATGGTTCACAACTTCTAAACCCTACATAGCTGCTAGTGGCAATTGTCTTGAATCTCCTTACATTAATTACCAGAAATGAGCAGGGGGGAATATCCAGTTAATACCTTTCGGAACCCAACAATGTTCTCCGCTCGGGCAGGAAGAAAGAAAAATAATGATAATTAGCTAGAATACACGATGTCCTATTCCCTGACTTAGATGTTTGTCTTGGACGTTGACTTGACCCTGAAAACACCATATAAGCAAAAGCATTACAGGACTGAGACGATGGACATACTCTTTGCCCTTGACTGTGCCCTTGGTGACGCCGGACTTGGAGCGGATGCCGGTGGGGAGGCCACCGATGGGGCAGGCAAAGTCGATGCGGCGCTCAAGCGTCGACATGTTGATTGAGCGGCGGGCTGGCGGTGGTGCGGCACTACCGAAACTGTTAGGACAAGTCTAGAAATGGTTCTCCACTCACTTCTCCTGGCCGGCTTGGTCACCGAAACATTTCTGTTTAAAAAGTCAAGCAAGATATCGTTAATCGGGAGTATGCAACTCACGCGGAAGAGCTGGAAGTTCTTGGTGAACAGCGACTTGCTGATGACCTTGTTGAAGAGGCCGAAGAAGGAGCCGTCAGCACCAACATTGACGTCGAGGTTGGCCGCGATGTTCACACAACCGCCGAAGGTGGCGGCCGGAGCGTCGCCAGCAGGGGCACTGTTAGAACTTGTCAGAATCGGGGTTTACTTGGAGAATGAAACCACTTACGCAGCATTGTCAGCGGGAGGTCTTGGAGAGAGTTAGAAGATGAATGAGACGGAGAGAAAGCACTAACGCTGGGTCTTGTCGGGCTTCAAGAGCAGCCTGGTCCTCGGTGACTTCTTCCTCAGTAACTTCTCCCTCGGCAACTTCCTCCTCGGTAACTTCCTCCTCAGTGACTTCCTCCTCCTCAGTTCCTTCAGCCGCGGCAGCATCAGCAGGGGCCGGGGCCGCAGGAGCTGGCGGAGCGGGTGCAGCTGGAAAGAGAAGCCTCAATATAAAGCACAAAGAATGGCTCGAGACATACCAGCCAGAGTGGGAGTGAAAGGAATGTTGTTGATCTTGGCAGAGAAGGCGGTAGCAGCCTGGACAGTGCGGTCGTTGGTATCAGTGTTCTTGAAGCCGGCAATGCATCCTCCACCGAACCCAAGAAGAGTCGCGACGTTGCAATTGGGCGCAGCAGTTCCCCGACCACATCCTCCCGCGCCGTTACTTTGGGCAACAGCTGGGCCAGCACATTTGCCGGTGGTGAAGCCACAGCACCCTTGTTGGCAGTCGGCGTCAGAGGCACAGTCGGCTGTGACGGTCTTCTTCTTCTCTTGGGCGGCGATCAGCTCGGCAATTGAATTACCGGCAGCCGGAGCGGCAGCAGATGGTGCCGGGGCAGCGGCCTTCGCAGCATCAGCCTTGGGGGCGTCCGCTTTGGGGGCATCCGCTTTGGGGGCATCAGCAGCTTTAGGAGCGGCCGCATTGTTGATAGCAGCGGGGTCGGGAACTTCGGCTTCAGTTGCCTCACCCTCGACACCCTCGGCACCACTTTGAGACTCGTCAGCTTGCCCGTCAGTTATATCAAGCAAATCACGAACGTTTCGTCAACGGTCTCCTCGGCAGTGCTGTTTTCGTCCAATCAACATCATGAAGAGGAGAATGTGAAGGAAACATACCCTTCTTCAGTAACTTCTTCCTCCCCAGCGACAGTCTCGCCTTCAGTGACCCTAAAAAGTCTCAGCACGCCGAAATTGGACCAAGAAAGAGAACTCACTCCTCCTCAGTCGCTTCTCCCTCGACGGTCTCCCCTTCGGTGACCCTAAGCCAAATTATGAGTATCAACAGCAGAAGGCAAGGACCAAACACGTACTCTCCCTCTACGGCAGCATCGCCAGCAGGGGCGGCGGCATTGTTGATACCAGTACCGTCAATGGAAGGAGGACTACAAACGACGTCAGCTAAAGAAAATCGGACACCAAGATGACATACGCAGCACCGCCGTTCTTGTCTTTCTGGATGGCGGCAGAAGCGGCAAGGTCGAGAGTCAGGTCGGCAGTGGCATCGAGCGCCAAGAAGACTTCTGCCTGGCCTTTACCACCGAGAGCGGAGATACCGAGGTTAAGAGCGGGTCTGACAAGGGCGGTGATAGTTCCCGTCGCTTGAATGTTGGGAGTGGCGCTCAGGCTCAAAGCTATGAAGACAAATAAGCATATCGCGGATGGGAATACGAGGAAAAAATACGCACGAGCATCACCAAGAGAGAGCTGGTTTTCCTGGGGAGCCCTCTTTGCGTCGGGAGGGAAAGCAATGACGACATCGTTCAAGTCGACAGCCATACCAACTTGCATGTCCATGGTGAGGTCAACGACACCGCTGAGTTGGGCATCAACGGTGAAGGTGGGACCGATTTCCAAGAAACCGGGGAAAACGAGTCCAGGGACACCGACGGTGAAGAGGGAGATGAGAGGGCTGGCCAAGGTACCCGAAATATCCGCAGTCATATCGACAGTTGCGCCAAGGCCACCCTTCATGACTGCGATAACGCTGAATTGCTTGATGCCAGGAGGGATAACGGTTCCTTCTGCGACAACGGAGAGCTTGGCTTGCATGTTTGCGTTGGCGTCCAAGTTGACGTTGATCGCAAGCGACTGGCCGAAGCATTGGAGGTTGGAGTTGAGCAGGTTGACTTGCTTGCTGAATGTGAGCGCGGGGAGATCGAAGCCTTTGTCGAGAGTGATGGTCTGGTTCGCGACAGCTAGCTACTGGTCAATAAAATGATATAAAATGCGCGGAAAGCACAAACCTTTGGCAGCGTCGATCACAACACCGGCCGCGTCTTTGATCTCTCCGACGACCTGAGTGGCGACGGTTTTAGCGGCATCACCAGCCTTCGTGGCTCCGTCTTTCACGGCCTCGGCAGCTTTCTTTGCGTCTTCGGCAGCCTTCTTAGCCTCTTCGGCAACCTTCTTGGCCTGCTCTTCCGCAACCCTCTTAGCATCTTCCGCAACCTTCTTGGCCTCCTCAGCAGCTTTTTCGGCAGCTTTCTTTGTCTCCTCGGCAGCTTTTTCAGCAGCCTTCTTGGTCTCGTCAGCAATTCTTTCCGCGGTCTTCTTAGCCTCCTCAGCAGCATTCTTAGCAGCGTCTCCGATGGCTAAAAGAAGTGTCAAATGAAACCATCAAACAGCATATAATGGGTCAAACCTCCAGCTGCATCCTTGATAGCTAATCGTTCCGTTAGCTTAACTCGAACTGTGCTTCCTTCAAAAAGTACATACCGCCAATTGGGTTGTCGAAGAATCCTCGTGCAATCTCACGGTGATGGTGGCCACGGGCGAAGGGAGCGTGTGTAGGCTTGAAGGCGCGTTCGGTGGACCTGCGCGCTTGCGAGCCAGTCTTGAACGAAGACATGTCGATACCGGGAACGTTAGCACCCTGAATAGCGAAGTTGACCATGCCAGTTTTGCTCCATTGTACTTCTTCGAAGTTGGTGTCGATGCGAAGGGCCTTGACAATTGGTGGGTTGCCGCTGCGACGGACAAGTCGTTTCTGGATGGACTCGGGAATCGACTGATCCTCAGGAACCCATGCCTTGGCGATACGAGCAAAAGCCATAGGACCACACTGTTGAGCTCATCAACGAAACGTGAGGCTGTGCTAGAATAAAGGACGGACGCTTTCGGGAAGTCGCACAAGCTTGTTGACGGCACCAATATTCTGGTACAAATGACCACACTTGGATGTTGTCTCTTCTGGGTCATTCTTGCAAACGAGACGGATGTTCTGGGCACCGGCTTTGGGGTCGCAGTCGAGGATCTCCCAGTCAGCCGCCTGAGTGATATCCGTGAGAGCATCGATGCCTCCCCACTGTCATAGTCTGAGACAAACAACTTATAATTAACTTGTGATCATTACGCACAACTTTCAAGGTACCGGATGCCTGGCCGGGAAGATCTGGACGATATAAGCCCCTGTCGTCCAAGTTACGAAAGCAACACACGCACCATAAGAGCAAGTCCCAGAGATACAAGGGACCGACCAGTCGTTCTTAGCTTGGACGCTAGACGCCACAAGCAAGGGGATTAAGGAAACCAGAGCCGTAGACAGCATGGTCGTGAATTTGATTTTTTCTCTTCTTCAAGAATGAATGCCGACCGGGGCGTTCGTTCGTTCGTTCGTTCGTTCGAAAAAGGCGAAAAAAGGCGCACAAGCGCGAACGAAGGAAATGAAGGGGAGGGGGGAAGAAGAAGAAGAAGAAAATGGGCCAGGGTGGGGGCGCCTCGATTTATATATCAAGGGCTTGGCGAAATCAACCGTTGTGAGGCTGGATCACCGCTTATTCAGTCGCCTATGTTTGAGGCTTGCGCTACTGTCAGGCCAGGTCCAAGATCGGACTGCAGCACCCTAATGTGCTGCATGGATAGCTCATAAGTATCGGATTCATTCTGAGGCCGAGCGATATGGGCCTAAATGAGCAGAGAGACTGGAAGGGAAGTGAAGATGTTGGGATGTGTGGACGGCTTCACTGACCTTCACCGCCACGTTTAGTACTGATGCCAAGTCAAACGGAAGGGATCGGAGGAAAGGAGTAACGGTATCGAGGGATTCGGCAAGCAAACTCAGCGCGTGCCGCGTTGCGGACCGCAGGATCGCCACTGTCGTTTGTTGGGAGGGAAGACGTGACCACGACGTCGCGTGACGATCGACCGATAATTCGTTGGCATCTGATAGATCTGATCCGGTAATCTGACAAAACGAGAAGTTATTATCTCAGGCTCTGTGCAGTGCGACCCGCAAGTTGTCGGAGATGTAGGCCTACCTGCTCACACTCAACCATCGGAATCTTGCCTGAGCCTCGTCGTCTTGCGCCTCCATTACGATGTCTTTAAATGATGTGGACCAGTGTGATTCACTCTTTTCCGAAAACAATGACTCGACTCTCACATTGGCATACTAGTATTCGCGGGCTGGCTCAACTGGAAATTGTTAGCGCAATAACTTGAACCTTGAATACTTACTGCCCAGTCTCGAGTAATCGATTCTACTCGGAAGTATTTGCTTCTTCAACTGGTACGTTTAGGACAAGCTCGGGCGCCGTCGGCCTCCAAGGCAGATTGACTCAAGGTTGAGTGTCAGCTCAGTCCGACCACTATAACGGTCCATCCTGGTTGCATCTCCAGAGTCAAGTTTCGATCGAATGGTACGCTTTATAGCGCTCACCAAGACCAAACCGCTCCCGAGTACTTACCATCGGCGCGTTCACATCTCAGGCAGACAAATGACGAAACAAAGTCTCCAGCGACATTGACAAGCACAAGGACCAGAGGCTACCAACAGCGGAAGCTGTTCTTCAAATCATGACACAGAGTGATTGAGCACAAGAGCGGGCCCGGGGCGAGAATCCTCTGTTAGACGATCGCGCGATCCGTGTCTCCAGACCCTTGCTGATCTTGTCAGTGAACTTTGCAGCTGCTGAGCCAGCACTGCACGCAGTAGTTAGTCGCGTCATGTCACACGTAGTCACATCCATCCGAGTTTGCTTCTCACCAAGCGCTGCGAGCCTTGGGCATCTCCAACTTGTTACCACTGAGAGCCTATTTTCTAGTCGCGATAGGATTCAAAACAACAATTCAAAGCAACAAATATCGATACAAGACGGTATAGTATGGTAGTACACTGGTCCTTAGTAGCAGTACAACAACAAAAGATAAGTTACCCAAAGCTAGCGTTGCCAGGCTCCCCCACTCCACCACCTCTTGTCGGCCCCTCTGACTTGCCACTCAGCAATGCCCATGTCGCTGGCGACATAGATATTCGCGCCAGACGGGTCAAAACACGCTCCGGCGAGGTCAGCTTCCAGCTCGCTGCCTGACCTTGACCTTGACCGCATGCCGTGTTGCTGCAGCACTCGCCGGACCTCCTGCTCAACAGCATGGTCCCCCAAAGGCGGAATGACAAGCACATCCTCGTCGCCGTCTGTCTCGCTGGCGATCGCAACTCTGAACGTTTCTTCCAGCGTACTGGCGAATCGGGCTGCTACTGCAGAGGCCGGAGACATCGGCCTCGTAATCGGCTCGAACCGCGGCATCTCGATAATCTCCTCTCGCTCAAAAGTCCGCGCATCGACGACATGGACCAGCGATGTGTGTTCAGTAAACATCATCAACTCGCGTTCTGGCCGTCCGCCGAATTTGACAGCTCTCGTGCTCCAGCCAGGCCCTCGGCTCTTCCAGTTGCTCCAGTCTTGTGGGTCCCATGCCATGCTGGCATTGCCGCCGCGACTCTTATCAGTGTGGAACACTTTGAGGGGACGGGTGCTCCTCACATCCCAGATGGCCACAAAACCTTCTTGGGAGGCAACAGCATATTTGCTGCCATCGGCGGAGAATGCGGTCGAGAAGGACGCGACGAGTGCAGGAGAAGCATTGGGATTTGGCGGAGTCGGAGGTAAAGTGAGCGTGGCGATTGAAGTCGCCGTAACATAGCCACCGCCGGTGAGACGATGGAGGTATATTTTGGAGGAGTCTCCAACAGAAAGCAATGTCCTCCCATCTGGTGATATAGAGGCTGCAAAGATTCAGTGACCTGTTGCACCTGCTTTGTTGCACCCACAATGGTTAATTGGCACGTTCATGTGAACTGAACCAACTTGAGCGATGCCTGCAGGCCGCGCGCGAATAGGGACATCGAAAAACATGACACAGCGGTCGTTGTTGCTGACTGCCATGCGTGGCTCGATGCTGCTCTCGGGGGAATCGGTCAGGCTCAAGGACGTGAGCAAGATGGAGTTGTTTATAGAGCCGTCCAGGTGTGTGCTGAATTGCCAGTCAACGCGGTTGTTGGAGTCCCTGAGCAATGATAAATGAACTTCGGCATCTTGTCCACCCGCCGCAAGTAAAGTTTGGTTGGTGTCAGGGATCGACAGGGAAGAAAGGGTATTGGGGACAAAGGCGAGCTCTACAAGAGTACGTGGGGGCTCGGACGGTTTGCGCACATTGACTTCTTTTATGGACTTGTCTTGGACATAGTTGACTACGCCCTGCTCGCGAGGACAAACAATCAAGTCACGTAGTTGTCTGTAAGAAGTGAGTAGAAAGAGGCCAAAGTTGCGGTAACGCACACATGGCTAATTGTAACGTCTGTTTGAATAGTTGAAGATGGGGCTGGTGAGCTCAGCAGAGGCGGGTCTTTCGCCATCGTCGTCAGTGACGACGAAGGTGATTGGCGTTTTGTCACAGGTTCATCTCGGACCGGATCCCGGCATAACATCGGTGACGTGTTTTAGTCCTGGAGACTCAAGCTTTCTCCTTATTGCTCCAACTCGTTACAAACTGTACCTCGGTCCACTTCATACCAAGTGTACGGGGAATAAAGTAGTAGTAATACACAATCGGCCATCCAATGGGTTACTTAGGTGACTTTATATGAGCAGCTTGGATACGGAGGAGATGCTGGAAAAGGGTCATCAGTCTTGAGCAGCCAGGTTAGAGCATGAGACGCACAGTTTACTCTGGATGGTACCCTTAGTGATGCTTGATTTGCCAAGCGAGCCAATGGGACAGCTCAGGTTAACGCGCCGCTCAAGCGACGTACGCTTATCGAAGGGAGAAGTAATATCGCGTCGAGCAGCGCTGGAAGGATCTTCAGTGTCCCAAAGAACAGTCCACAAAAGGTTACGTACGTAGCATCAGCCGGGGCAGTCGCCGTTGCTTGGTCGCCAAAGCATTTCTGCGCCATTTAAGATCAAAGAACGTGAACTCGAAGCCAGACGCACATCGAAAATCTTGAAGTCCTTGTTGAACAAGGGAACACTGGCGAGTTGGTTGAAGAGCCCGAAGAAAGAACCATCAGCGCCAACATTGACATTGACGTTCGCTGTAACATTCACACAACCACCAATCGAGGGGGGAGTAACGGTGGTCGTCGATGCGCGACCGGCGAGGCTTCTCGCCTCCGCCGCTGGAGCTTCGGCACTGAAAATATCAGACGTGGGACAATGAACAAGAAAGAAGGCACCAACTCCGGGTCCTCAGCAGTTTCGTCTGTCTCGTCAACCGCCTCATCAGCCTCAGTAGTCTCATCTTCCTCTGCGTCAGCTGTCTCCTCATCGGCTTCCTCAGTTCTGGAATCAACATCAATCTTTTTGAAAGGTCGCGGAAATAGGAAACGCACCCATCAGTTGTTCTATGATAATGTAACCGGTGAGCTTGTGGCGGGGCTATAACAGAGAATAACGCACTCGGTAGCTGCGCCCCCATTCTTGTCCTTCTGTACAGCTGTTGAGCCGTCAAGAGCCATCGTCAAGTCGGCGGTAGTGTCGACAGCAAGGAAAACTTGCGCCTCTGCTTTACCCCCGAATGCGGAGATGCCTAGGTCAAGTTGAGGACTAAGCAGTGCAGTCAAGGTGCCGGTTGCTTGAACGTCCGGAGCAGCATTGAGAGTCAAAGCTTGGGATATAATCAAAACAAATAGAGCACAGCATATACGAGTAAACTCACGAGCATCGCCGAGAGAGAACATATTACTTTGTGGGGCAGCCTTCTTGTTTGGCGGGAACACGATCCTTGTGTTGTTCAGGTCGAGGGCAACACCGACGTTCATGTCCATGGTGACATCCATAGTTCCGCTGACCTCTGCATTGACTTTGAAGGTGGGACCGATCTCGAGAATCTTGGGGAAAACGAGCCCGGGGATGCCAATCTCAAAGACAGGAATGAGACCAGAGTCTATGGTGCCACTGATGTCCGCCGTCATATCAATCGTTCCCCCAAGTTTTCCGTTCATGACAGCGACGACATTGAACGACGCAATCTTCGTGAGGGTGCCACTAGCGGTGACGGTCAGAACAGTCTTCACATCGGCATTAGCGTCCATGTTGACATTGAGCGAAAGCGATTTGCCGAAGCATTGGATCGCGGAGTTGACCAAATTGACGTTTTTGTCGAATTTGAGTGGAGGGGCATCGATTGACTTGCTCGCAGAAAAGGGTGTTGTCGCAACAGCTGGATAAGTGTAAGTCTCACTTCACAAGAAGAGTGAGAACACACATTTGGCAGCAGATTCGACTTTGGTCGCAGCACCTTTAGCTTTGGAAGCAGCATTTGTCGCGACATCTTTGGCCTTGGACGCAGCCTTTGTTGCGACACCTTTAGCTTGTGTTGCAGCTTTGGTCGCGGCATCTTTGGCCTTTGTTGCAGCCTTTGTCGCGGCATCTTTAGCTTTAGTTGCAGCCTTTGTTGCAGCGTCTTTGGCTTTAGTTGCTGCATCTTTCGCAACCGTTCCAGCCTTTTTGCCCGCATCTTCCGCCTTGGCTAATCCTGATTAAAAGCCGAATATGGGTGAAGGAAACACGCACCAGCAGCTTTGGTAGCAGCAGAGGTTGCTGCACTGGTGGCTTTAGCTTCACCGGCTATAAGATACCTCGTCATTTTGTGCGTTTGGGGGATTCAGTCGCATACCTTTCGCAACGCTCTTGACATCATTAGCTGCATTGTTTACGCCGTTCTTGATTGCTAGTCACCGGTCTGAGCACAGAATTGAGAGAGAGCTTGATGAAACGACATACTGCCAAGCGGGTCGTTGAAAAATCCTCGTGCGACTGCCTCCGTAAACTCAACTTGCCCAGACTTGACCGACCTTCGTGAATTGAACCTCCGCGCTTGCGAGCCGGTATTGAAGTTTGACATATCCATTCCCGGAACATTCACTCCCTGAATGGCAAGATTGACTGCACCGATTTTGTTCCAATCAACAGCATCGAAGTTGGTGTCGATACGAAGTGCCTTCACAACCGGCGGGGTGTTGCTACGGCGGATAATGCGTTTTTGTATTGATTCAGGAATAGATTGGTCGTCCGGAACCCATGCGTTGGCAATCCGGGCAAATGCCATAGGCCCGCACTGCCCTCCGCGCGTTTCAGTAACTAGGAGTTTAGAATAGAGAACCACGCACGCTTTCAGGGAGACGGACGATCTTGTTCACGGCACCGATGTTTTGGTACAAGTGCCCACATTTCGAGTCGGTTTCGTTGGGGTCGTTCTTGCATACGAGGCGAATATCTTGCGCAGCCGAGTTGGAATCACAGTCGAGAATCTCCCAGTCGGCGGCTTGAGTAACGTCCGTGATGGCATTTACGCCTCCCCACTGTAGAGATGTTGAGAGGCATCCACGAAGAAAAATCAATCCTTACAATCTTGAGTGAACCAGAAGAAGAGCCGTTCGGGTCAAGATCTAAGTCATAAGAAGCGGTTCATATGGAAGTACTGAGACGCACCATAAGAACACGAGCCGGTAATACAAGGCACACTCCAGTCGTTCTTCGCGAGAACATTCGTAGCGGCAAGCAGAGGGATGAGAGAAACCAGAACGGGAGACAACATAATAAAATTCGTGTGTAATTGGAACGAAATGCCGACCAGGGCGTTGTGGGGTCCAACAAAAAGAATGGACCTGCCGGTAAGAAGGAAAAAGACGGAGGGAGAAGAAAAATGAATGGGCGGGAGACTCTATCTTGTTTATATTCGGGTGGAGCATTGGTACTAATCAGCGGTTGCGGAGTCGTCAGAGACGAAAATAGCCCTGGTTGAAACGATTAGGTGGGTGTTGAATGGTTCTGGTTGAATTGGCTGTCCATTCGGCGCCGTTTGCAGCCGTGCCGCATCACGTGACGATTGATCGGCGTATCCTCGAAACATAATACGAAGCACTGTAGCTATCACCAAATAGTCCTAAACCTCTGGCTTAAAATCACATCCAACCCACGAGTCCGTATCTCTGCCACCAAATCGCGCGACACATGAGAGCCAGGCAGTTCCACCCACAGTTGGCGCCATGTGTCTTTCCGAGCTTCATATAGCTGCAGTACAACATCCTTATAGAGATCCCACCGTCCACGGACTGCCATAGTCCGCAACGCGGGGAGAAGCGTTGGATGTTCGGCGAGTAATGGAAATATTGGGTCTTTATCTCGCCCCAAGTCTGCCACCGTGACTCGGAAGAGGCATTCGAGATCGCTGATGCCCCGCACTGGGTTGCTTTCGAAGAGCTCAACAAGTTTCTCGGCGCCAACATCATTAGACACGATGAGTGAAAGGTATTTGAGAGCACATTGAGACCGCAAGAGGTGTTGCTGTATAATGCGCAAGTCTGGTAGCTCGACACTACCATCCCAAGCCTCACGAATAGCCAGCTTAGTGAGTAACGGGCTTGTAAAAATTTTCAAGATCTGATGAATGAAATCAGTCTCGCAGAGGTCGAATGAAAGTGCTGATATGGAGCATGATGCAAGTCCTGGCAATGGCCCTCGCAAGGAAAAAGCCATCTCGAAGCGACACAGATGAGTGCGCTGGGAGGCGGGGAATGATATGAGCCAGGTCTTTCACCGACAGTTTCCCAAGCGTGCAGGCTTGTAATTGGGCCCAAGGTATTCCAAGAGCACTGGAAATGGGGTAAGGCGTCGAAAGCTTCAACTGTGTTAACGCCGTGAGAGATCCAAAGAATCGACTGGCGTTTTGAGGAAGATGTTTTAAACTTTTGAAGGTGAGGGAGGTGAGGTTGGGGAAAGACGCTCGTGATTGGGCAATATGTGCAAGCTGTTCAGTGTCAACCACAAGGTCGGCATCCTCCCATCGAGTGGAATCAACAAGGAGGAGGTCGAGAAGGGGGAGCATGGCAGGGTCGAATCCCCGGTATTCAAGGTCGATAACGACATGAAGCGGAGCCAGGGGGAATCGTTGCATTTGTGAGAATAGTCGCTCAAATGTGTTGGCTATGTTTTTCTGGAAAGTCGATTGGCCGTCAAGTACGATGCGTTTCCAGAACAAAGAGGCGCCAGTAATAGTGTTCCGCCAGTGACGGCATACCGCACTGAGGTGATAAATTGGCGCTCCAGCGCTTTGAGAGAGAACCTGCTCGAATATTTCGCAGAGCACTTCGTTGGGTATTCGTCGAAATGTGGACACGACGCCACGGTGCAAATCCGTGAAGATGAGGAGCTCTTCGCGTCGCGCCCGAGAATGTTCCAAGGTTGCTTCAAGACGCGTAATGTAGTCCTCCAACGACAAGATTTGGCTTTCTGTCGTTTGGATAATTTGGTGGATTGTTGATGTCTGGGCTTCCGAGGGAGCAGAGTTGTTATGGATGAGTTCGGGACATGGACTCCGAGGTATAGAGGGTATATTCTGCCTCAGAGTGTCAGTTATCTCGTTAGGAACGATAACCGACATGAGCAAATTTGCTGATGACGTAAGTGACCGTAACATCCAGTCACATCCGCGATTTTGGACCAAACCTCGCCCACCACCACCATTATGCCAACTGGAGCTAGCACTGAAGGTCCATTCACTGCCTTTTCGTCCAGCCTTTTGGCCGGGGCAATCATTCTCCAACTCTCTTATCAAATACTTCGGACAAGCCACGCCCCTTGATAGCAAACAAGATAAAGCCTTATACTTCCACGATACGGAGGTCCTCCCGAACCACCATGTCGACCAAGTTGGACCTTCAATTGGCTTATTCAACCCAAGATAGACAGTCGCGGTCGCGACGGCGCCTTGCATTTGGAGCCGTCGTCGTTGTCGCTGCAGTTCTGCTCTTCATCTTCTCTCCCGCCACCGAAACGTCTTTCCATCCACTCACTGCGGGGCTTCACGCAACTCTCCCTGGCGCCTGCGCCGACACCGCGCCGCTACCTGGTCATGCACCTCATCGGAATGTCTGGAAGAATTTTAACATTCACGAGGTCGTCGCCATCAGAGAATGGCTCGCTGAGTATAGAGACGAGGAGGGCAACAGATTCAACTTTGTCAGCGGGCCCGCTGCTACCGACCTGTGAGTCATTTACAAAGCTCGCACCGAAAACCAATCTATTCCCAAGGGACAACTCTCTCATTCTCATTGAGAACTTCCCCCCCAACAAGGCAGACGTCCTGTCGTATTTCGACAACAACGGGACTGTACCACAACGGTTCGCGAAGGTCTGTGTGCTGTGCTGCCTAACTTCGGTATTCTAACAAAGGACCTAGATTGTAATGACTCTTGGTGCTGTATCTCCGCCTTCCATCAAGCAGTACCTTCTCGGGCCACTCCCAGACACCATCTCATCACTTACTCTCAGCGCCGCCGGAATATCATTAAGACCTCTGACGTTCGTTCAATTTATATTGGCGGGACGGGACTGAATACTCTATAGACATATCTACACTCGGCCAGAAGTTCCGTTCACCGCACGTCTTGGGGCCCAGAATGCCTCGTTGACTGAGAAATTCGCTCTTGACTTTATGGCTCCTCTTCGTAATGCGACTATCGACCTTCTTGGAGGCGTTATTGGTGGTTATCGCTTTGACTTTACGAATGTTAGCCAAGAGAGTCTTGTGTTCGCCGGAACAACGCCTTTCTCATACGATGGCTCTTTTCGTCGTATGTGGTTGCAGGTGAAGAAGAATGTCCCTGGGTCATATCTTTTTTCCCTCGACATGTACTTTTATGTCGACTTTACTTCACAAGACCCTAAAGACTGGTACCTCATCTCGATGGTCTACAATCGTCAAGTCTTTTCGAGTGTCGCGGAGTTCCTAGAGGCGTACAAGTATGTTTTGGTCAATTTCGCCAGGCTTGTCTCAACACTTTCAGCAATGGCACACTCAAACGTTCAAAGCGACCCGAAATTCCCACCGCTGAAGAAGAAGGCTGGGCCGCCCGTGGTAGAAGAGGTACTCCCAGAGATCTCGACGAGCGGGCAGGTCCTCGTCAAGTCTCATTCAATGGCCCACGATTTCGCGTCGATGAAGCAAACCACTGGGTTAGTTGGATGGGTTGGGCGTTTTATCTTAGCTTTGCCCGTGACATGGGGCTCAGTCTCTGGGATGTGCGGTTCCGCGGAGAGAGAATTTTGTATGAGATTTCCCCCCAAGAAGCCTTGGCGGTATATTGTCAGTTTTGCTTTCCCGCCGTCTTGGTTTCTCATAGTCTACAGCTGGAAGCGACCCCCATCAAGGCAGTACCGTTTTTCTCGATGGTGGTTTTGGTATGGGAACCTCAACACGTTCAATCATCGCTGGATATGATTGCCCGCACGAAGGACATCTTCTCCCCGGCATCACACATACCGAGTCGGGAACTCTCCTTCGACGAGATGCCATCTGCGTCTTTGAACGAGACTCGGGCAAACCACTGAGTAGGCATACTGGGTATCTGAAGCAAGAGATGGGTGTTAGTCTTTAGTCTCGATGCCGTCTTGGTTCCATGCTGACTGTCCGTCTGTGTAGGCAATCAAAGGATACGAGCTCGTTGTTCGCACTATTAGCACCGTCGGAAACTACGACTACCTCTTCGACTACACTTTCCAACTGGATGGAACAATCGAGGTCCGGATCTCTGCTAGTGGTTATCTGCAAGGGGCTTGGTGGGACGACGCAGAGCACCCATATGGGACCAAGATCCGAGACACATATAGTCAGTCCCAGCCACTCTATGACCGTTTTACTCATGCGCACCTTTTGCAGTGGGATCCTTGCACGATCACGTCATGTCTGTTCATTTTGCCATGTTTTTGTCTCTGCTGAACCAATATAGAAACTATAAACTAGACTTTGACATTGCCGGGACCCGTAACTCACTGATGAAGATTTCGCTGGAAAATGAGGTTGTTCAACAACCGTGGTTCAATGATGACTGGGGTCAGGATGTCAGCCAACAGAGACTCGTCCGAAAGATTGTTAAAACCGAAGACGAAGCATTACTAGACTACCCCAAGAACCTCGAGGGCCTATACGTTATCTTAAACCAGGAAGAATCCAACAAGTGGGGAAATCGTGTGTTGTTCGACAAGATAACGGATCATGGTGCTGAACTTTTCTAGCGCGTGGCTACGCAATCCACCCTGGAATGTCTCCAATCCATCTCGTAAATCCTCCAGCTTGATTTCCGGTCTGAAGCTAAGCGATATCGATAGACAAACCTGAACAGCAAACGCACAGAGAAGAACATGAACTTTGCTAAACACCACGTTGGCGTCTCGAAGAGGAAGGAGACTGAGCTGTATTCTTCGTCAATGTGGAACCTCAATCTCCCCGGCGATCCCCGTGGGTACTGTGCGACCTCCTATTACTCATTTGACTCGTTCATCAGCTGTGAACTATTACTCGTTCTTCGATGGGTTTGTCTGTCTATACTTCGTCGTCCTAATATCTGACTTAGGCCACTAGTGAATCAATAGAGCAAGAGGACATCACGGCTTGGGTCAATCTTGGCATGCACCACATCCCTCGCGCGGAGGACTCGCGTGAGTGTCAAACAGCATGGATCATCCGAAAGAAAATAACATTTTAGCAGCTATGACGCTTACCAATGTCGCTACATCATCGTAAGGAGACCGTTTCCTCCATCACGCAAGCTTAATTTCGTCTCCAGTGTGCTTCTTACGCCGTTCAACTTCAACGACTTCGACCCGGCTATGGAGAGTATGAATGCTATCGTCGTTGGCGTCCCCGAGCCGGGTTTCGACTGGACCGCGGACGAGAACGGTGTGGAGAGCGCGTATTGTATCCCACCACCGGTGAAGAAGTTTGAGGTGGGTAACTCCGAATCGGACTTGCCGCCATGCTAATTCGGTCAAAGTACCCTGGCCTTTTCACGTTTGAAGACGACGGGACGCCGGGGACAGCGGCAAGAGTGCATCAGATGCGTCAACAGGGTGAGGACCACCCCTCTCAAAAGAAATAGCTAATTCATTCCCTGTCTAGCGGAGGGCTACCATGCCATTTTCGCAGCCTCAGACTTGTAAGCTTGTAGTTGTTCGTAGCATTTTGTAATCAGAGAATTTGAATCTGCTTAAGCCTCAGCCTTGGCGCACTGAACTCTTGATACCAATGCGATCAGTCCGGCTGTTCCGTTGCGGGTCGGACTCTCATAAAAAAACTGCCATTTCTGGGTAACGCACGTGACCCACCGCTCAACCGGACCGCGACCATCTATTAGTTACCATGCTTTGCCCCACCCTCCATCGATTCCTGGTCGATTCCGGCAGAAGAGCGACGCTGACACAACTGGTGCGATGCCGCCGGTGTGGCTACGAATGCTCTGCCGAAAATTCAGTCAAGACCCAGACCCTGCTTTGTCCCGATGGAAAAAAAAGTTGACGCCCAAGAAGTTGACCAGTGCGCGTCGCCGCCGGCGCGGCGGCCACTACCCTTTCAGATATAGCAAGCGCCAGCGCAAAATCTGGACCAGAGAGCGCGCTGGTTCAATGAAATTGGGCAGCGTTGTTCACAGGAAGTTTTGCGTGCATAATTTGGCCCTTAGCAGTAATCTGGGGAAGAAAGGAAAATATTATCAAATGAACTCCTACTCATCCTTGGTCTCTCTCACGACACAGATCCGACTCGCGTCTTCGAATTCTCGTATAAAGACGCGCCAACATCTGGCAACCTGGCCAACTAGCTCTTCTTTTCTATGACAGGCACAGGAGCAAGACCTTTGAACGTAACCGTCGTTGGCGCTGGTATTGGTGGACTGGCGGTCGCAGCCGCGCTGAGAAAGTGTGGACATGTTATCAACGTGAGCGTTATTCAATTCCTGAGTCCTTACTCACGCAAACAAGGTATACGAAAGCTTCGAAGTCAAAACGGAAATCGGCGCCGGAGTTGGAATGCAAAGCAATGCCGTCCGTGTCCTCAAATCTCTGGGCTACAAACGGGAAAATCTGAAAGGCGGGATTTTCGATGGGGTCAGTTGCCCTTCCAGTCACTCTCGAGCCACACAATAACCTCAGTAGATGACAATCCATAATGCCGAAACAGCAAAGTTCAAGAAATTCCCAACGCGCAACTGGGATTCCCTTAGAAAAGAAGGCCTCGAGGTATGGTGTTTGTTGTCGTTTTCTAGTGATCGACGCTCGGGCAGAATTTCTCATGTCATCGCGGCGACCTTCATGCCGAGCTTCTTCGACTTGCTACCGAGAAAGATGCTGCCGATGGGCCGCCTGCAAAATTGCACTTCGGTAACAAAGTCGTCAGTTGTGACCCAGAGGCTGCAACTATCACCCTTGCCAACGGTGAAACGGTGACCTCAGATCTTGTCATCGGGGCCGATGGTATCCATGTGAGTGGGTGTGTTTACTAAGTCATCGTCTTCTCACAATTGCGCCAGTCCATCGTCCGGACAAGCGTCTTGGGGAAAGAGGTCCAAGCAGAACCGACTGGATGGGCGTGTTACCGCTGCATGTTCGATGCATCCAACATCAATGATCACCCGGAATTCGACTGGGTTCTTAAGAATATGAATACCATCCGACAAGAAGGCTCTCAGCTCGCCGAGCACATCGTCTACGGCGTTCGTGGCAGCACGCTGATCAACTTTGTTGCGTTCGATAGCCACGAGGGGCGGGATACCAAAAGACGTGAGGTTTTTTTCATCTATTATTTTTACTTCGCTGATAAACTTAGCTATCGCGCAACCTGCAACCAAGGAAGAGATTTGGGCAAGATACCCGACGTTCCACGAGAAATTCCGCCATCTATTCGACCTTCCTCTTGCGACTCCCGTTCTTCGATGGGAGCTTCGCGCCTTGCCGCTCCTCCCCACTTGGATCAAGGGACGGGCTGCCATCATTGGCGATGCAGCTCACGCGACGCTACCGCTGCTGGGACAAGGGGCGGGGTTGGCGCTTGAAGAAGCTGGTTGTCTGCGGGTTCTCTTCCCCGCGGGCACAACTCCAGACCAAGTACCCGCCCGACTCGCCGCATTCCAAGACCTGCGCAAAGAACGCGGCGAGTTTGTCAATGTGCAGTCCGTTGCCCAGGCAGACCCGGAGTACCGCGTCAAGTTCACGAAAAGTAAGCACGCGCACAGAATCAAGTTGATTAGATCGACAAACAACTGTTTTATTAGCATCATGGGACGAACAACGCGCAAAAAGAGCTTACCCGGGTCCAGTTCCTAGTGCTCGCAAACGGCCATTCCAACTTGAATCTCTTCTCGCATCCCTCCACTTCAACAAAAGCCCTCCAACCAAGGCAACTCTCTCGTAAACACGTCCTTTTCTCGCGCAAGGTATGTCAGCGTCACCACGCAAGACTAGTTTGGCCACTTGTCACCAAGCTTCCAGCGACTCTTGCGAGAAGCTGAAAGCGAGACAAAGACTGTGTGGAGCATTAGCTCTGCCTTAACAGAGACGAAACAGAGGTACCTAGCTGCCAGTGCATGCAGTCATAAGCCGTTTTGTGAGCCAGTCGTCGCGCGACCCATAGCACTGCTCCCAAAACCACAGTCAGTGCCAACCAACAGAGTCACAGACAGCAAAACGAGCTCACGGACTACAGTAGAGTTGGTTGCGCTGCCAAAATAGTTAGCTATTGAAGCAATAGAAGTTGAAATATATACCAGAACGCGACTCCCGCTTGAAGGAATGCGCAAAGTTTTCAGCGTGCACGTGCGTGACACGGTCCGCCAATCGCCGATCGATCACGCGTCGATCTCCAACCTTGACCACCACTTACAACAATGCGTTCCAACGACGAGCGACAGCAGCTTGCTTTCTTTCTCCGGCAACGACTGCTCAGCACAGGGCATCAAGAAAGCGACATATGGCAGCTCACCAACCATGACAACGATCTCGGCGAATGACTCTCCTCTCCCTCTGCGCAAAGTCCCCAACTGCCAAAACTACTAGTAGACGCCAAGTCAAACGGCCGCGCGCGCGCTGCCTCCCAACCACTGGCTTCAAGGTCTACGTGAACAATGACGACAAATCTACATGCCGCAACAACAACCACAACGGGCCGGAAATCCTTCTTTGTCGGCGCAGACTGGGAAAGTGAGCGCAAGGACAACGCGTTGGATGCGCTTGGTCACAAGTAAACCCCCGACTTACCTCGGTCGTCCATGCCACCAATGTCTCTGGCCGACCACGACTTGAAGACCGCGGCAACAACGCCCGAATTGAATAACCCGACGAATGAGCAAGATGGCGAGAATAATCAAGGCCCAACTCACCTTTGCAGCCCGACATTGTCCATCACGAGCATCAGCTCGCGATTAGCTGGAACAAGTCAGGCAACGTCTGAAGGAAAGATAGCGGCAACTCACATAGTAATGACGACAGATTTGCGCCTCCGACGAGCCCCAGGCTCGGCTGAGGATGTCCTGAAGACTGTGGCAGGCACTGTTGAGCAAGATGCCGAGACAATCAACACGACTCACCTTCGCTGTCTCTCACAACAACAGACAACGCCTGGCCGACAATCAAACAAGCAGCCGAGTCCTCCTGTCCACGGACAACTTGAGCTCGTCGTCATTCGGGTTAACGACAACGGACGACAGCGTTGTCCTGGGAGGGGATCCACCGGCGTTGACTTGCCACGTTGCAGTCGCAGCATCAAAACCCCCGTCGCTGTTGGATATCGAGGCGACAATGTCTGCAAGAACGGTGAGCTTCAAGCTCTGCGACTTGAAATACCACTCACGGTTGAGCAGCTCGTGAAGGACGACCACCACCACAACGCCTTCCCGCGCTACGCGCGGCTGCAGCCCGCAAGTTTGGCAACAACGACAAGCGCGGTCAGCCGCGAGGAGCCTGTCGGGTAAAGGTGAGATTGCGCCCATAAATCATGAGATGACTTACAAGCCACTATCGACTGCGACTTCATCCGGAAGAGTGCGGCAAGAACGGCGCGAACTGGCGAACACGGCGCCTCAGCAAGGTGACAAGAAATTCAACAAGCCCACTCACCTTACGACGACAGCAACATCGTCACAGTTGAGCTGGAGGGGGAGAAGAGTGGGAGAAAGGAAGGAAAGGGGAATGATGGAACTGGAGAATTGGGGCTGGGCTTTATACCCAGTGCCCGTCGGCGCTCGGCGTAGGCGAGTGAAGGCGATCGCCCACCGGATACACGCATCACTGACAGCGGGACCTGGGCAATCTCGCCACTGCCGGAAATGGCGTGGATTCCGGTTTGGTGGGATTTAGATAGCTTTCCAGCCATGTATTAGACAACCAGCTTGTGCAAGCACATCTATTATTATACTACTGCATGTTTTGATGCATTCTGGATCTTAAAACACGCTGCAAGACACCAAGGTTTGTGAAATACAAGTGGGGAGTGGGACTAGAAATACGACATACCCAGACAGCGGAGCGCCCAAGCTGCAAGCGAGTGACACATGGGATGATAGTGCCGTCATGCCCAGGCCGTTCGATGCTCAAACCACGCAAGTTCCCCGTTGAAAACGGGGGAATTCTGCGAGGTGAATGAAATTACCAGGGACTAGACCGCTCTCCGGAGGATCGGAGATGACCAGGTCGCTGATACGCGCAATTACGATCCAGGCTCCAAGTCCGAAGGTAATCGGCCGACTGTGTGGCTCAGAATTCCAGGAATTGTACCAACAACATACCTCGAAAATATCATATATTTGGTGCTTCCTGTTGCTTCAGTTGAAAGTATTGTTCGACAGAAGGCTTACGTAAGCACTTGATCCTCGATTTTCAGCCGAATCAGAGCATTTTTAGCTATAGAACGCGGGGCACATCTTAAATTTCCATTTTAGGTTGCCAGCGGTAGCATGCGATAAGGTCACGTGACCGCCCGCCGCAACGCAGTTTCAAGACTCTAACTTGGGCTTTCACTGTGAATTATGCCCTGGGTGTCATCCAACTTGAAAACCTCACAAAATTCTCATTGTCTTTGAATTATTTCAGGAAAACTTGGATTCACACAAGTCTAAAATTTCCATTTTGGGTCTTAGGTGATGCAATCACATGACCACAGCCCAGCACTTGAT